GCAATGCATCTTCATTGAATAATTGATCGATGTTATCAAATGAAAGCTCCTAAAATTTCAAAAAGTCATCAATTTYGGTAAATTCACGGCTCAATGAAGATTCACGTGAAATAACTGAGCCATATGAACGGCAATTTGTCKTTGTATTTGCCTTCTAAAGACCCAGAATGTATCATGGATCGTTTAGATGAATACTTAAGAATATGTGTAGATATTTTTAATTGCAAAATACGTCACGATCTAGTCTCAAGAGCTATTTTTGTGCAGCCAACACTTTGTCACTTAATCTTTYTGATACCATTATTTATTGGATTGTATTCTTAAGAAATTAAAATTGCAACGATTTCTTTCGTTATAAACAACCCCAAGTTCCGCGAGATATACCTTTAAACGTTCAACTCTCCTTAAGATAAATTTATGATATATATACATTTAGACATCCTGGTTGGTTGGCAAAGTGGTCTATTATGTTTTGACTGCGGGGCATGTTTACAAACGTCACTATCTCTATCTCCGTTWTTTTTCGATCACAGGTGTTTAAAAATATAAAAAGAAAAACCTAAATATTATAKGTACCAATTGAAAGAAAGCTTTTTTTTCAGTGAGATTGGGGTCTGTATATAACGCAGTGCTATGCGTGATTTTTTGTCAATGTTGTAAACACTTAAACTTAATTAAAAAATATTTAAAAAGAGATCAACACCCGCGATTGTTTATTTTGAGCATACATAAATAATAGATGTTTTATCTCTAATGATGCCACCTAGTTATTCAGACTGGATGTTTTTTTAGAAAAAGCCTAGAGGTCGATTCACATGGTGAAAATGGTCGCATGCAATGTGACGTACAAGGCAGAATTGTACTGTGTGAAAAGCTAGACAAATGCAGCGAATGATCTGTGGTATGCTTTTGAACCTGCAACATGTTATAGGGTTGCCAGGTGTACTTCAAGTCGCATGCGGCAATTTGTAACCTTGAATATGGCCTTAATGTGTACAAATTACTGGTTGAGAGACACGCGCCATTTTATATTTCTTAAGCAACTGTTTCCTTTCTATCATTGAAGATTTGCAATTTCAATGATTCTGCATTTGTAAGTAATCATATGAACAAAAWGCAGGCTAGCATTATCAAGAAGTATTAAAAAAAACATAAATCTGCGCATGCAGACCTAATGTTGTGCATCCAATCCAATAATGATAAAATTATGCTGACCTGTGGTTAACTAAGTTGKTTGGGTCAGCCAGGAAAATACAGTATGTTTCACACACACCAAAAGGAGTTGATTATGCAATTATTTACTGCCAACTGACTATGTGAAAAATACAACAAACTTTACTTTCCCAAAATACATTGATGATTTTTTTGCAATTACATGTAGATTGTTATAAATTGCATTATATGATTTTATTATTATGTGATTTGATTAACAAGCTATGATTAATTATTTRTTGTTATTTTATATCTTATTTAATACATGTATTGTGTTTTTGCTTAGAACTGCTCTTCACCTTGCTTCAGCYATGGGCAATGATGAGATGTGTCGCTTCCTCCTTGCTAACAAAGCAAAGACAAACCTTTGTGACAACAATGGCAGAACCCCATTAATGAAGGTACAATCCATACTATTTCATTGTTAGAGTGAAAGATTTAATTTTCAAACACTTTAAAGTATATTGTTTTTGTCTCAAGTGTGAAGCACCATTTGTGTTTTTTTGTGCTGTCAATCAAAACACAGAGCTTATCAAACAGCTTTGGAAAGTCCCCTTGCGTGCAAATCCTAACAATATCTCCAATAACATTTGTTCCCAGTTTGTTAAGGTTTGTGGCAGGTTTGTCATCATTAGCATAGTCATTTTTCCTTGTTCTAGRGTTACCCTTAAGGGTGTGCCTAATAATTAGACTCAGTCATACAGTTTGTCTTGTCCAATCATTCGTCTGATTTGATTGTCCATCCCTCCGTAGCTGTCAYAAAATCACGAAAGTAYGCAGTTTGTTAAAGTTTGAAGTAAAAGCACCAAATGGCAACAAGCGTATTTCGTCACCATTTTGAGTTTGCATATTATTTAATAATATGGAAAATTGCAGTGAAGATATATGAAGGATTTATATGATTGTATGCCACATTGTTTATCACATCAATTGTTTTTTTCTTTCTGTTTGTTTTTATTTCCCACAAGGCTGTTGAAGCCCAGTCACACAGTTGCACAGAAATTCTTCTTGAAAATGGAGCTGATGCAAATGTTGTTGACATGATGAACAGCACGTCAATGCATTTGGCWTCAGCTAATGGTGAAATTGAAATTGCTGTCCTGTTGATTGGAAAAGGWGCTAAAGTCAGTGAGCAGGATAAGGTAAGGCTCTCTCAGCAATCATCATTGAGTATTAAAAATTATTATTATTATTAACATCTGATCAGGATTTTTGATGATTTTTGGGGTTTTGTTACCTCACCCTCATCCATGTGTCGTCATTACTCAAYTTTCTCTCCTTTTAGTTCAAACAGATCTCTTCCCTTCAATGATAAAACCTTATACCATTGATTCCTTCTTTATTGCATTAGAAGCAGGCTACTCCTTTTCACTTCACCTTGACTTTGGGATTCCTGTGCTCAGAACATCACCCTGCTTAACTCTGAACAAAATTCCCAAATGTTTAAAATAGGAGTACTAAAGCTGTACCCTACTGTATGTAGGAGTGAAAAACTCCCTCCTTTTGATAACTTTTTGAGCTAGAGATGGAAGGGACTGAATGCATTAATCATGTCTTTTTGCTCACATTGATGTTAACTAAATTATTTCAATGCAGGAGGGTTTTACTCCATTGCATGTAGCCTCATCCCTTGGGTACCAAGGATTTGTGGGGTTTCTCATGCATGAAGGAGCTTCTATTGATGCTGTTGATGCGCATGGAAGGTACAAGTACAAAACACATATATTTTTACCATTTTCAATCAATTATATGACTGTACTACTTTGGTTACTTAAATGAATATGCAAACTCCAGTTGTCAAATGCTACAGTCTTTATCTGTTTTGCTTCCTTAAATCAAAACTCAAAACATCTCCAAACTGCTTTAGTGACCCTTTCATTAAAAAATAAATGTACAACTAATGTTTCTAATCATTAGACATCAAGAATGTTKGAGTTTTGGTTTTATAGGATGAGGCAATTCAGTGATAGTTCAGAGYTCCAATTAACTAAGACAAAATGGTGTTCACTTAAAATTGTGAAAATTTTTAGTTGTAATACTCTACAATTACTTATCTATATTTTGATATTCAAACAGGACGTCTTTGATGACAGCTGCAAGTGAAGGCCATATTAGTATTGTGAAGTTACTATTACAGAACAATGCAAACACTGAGTTAAGAGATAGCCAAGGTTGGAAGGCCTCAGACCACGCTATWATTCAAGGACACCATAGGTACGTTCTTCAGGTTTGGGATTCCTGTGTTGCAGAATGGAACACAGGAAGCCCAATGAGATACAAGTCAGAACAGAGCGGTGAAAGAATGCGACCAGTGGCTGGTGTAAAATTCAAATGAAGTTGATTATCATTCCTTTATTTTGAGCTATCGTTATATTGCATTATGAAAGCGCTAGGCAAAAGTGGGACGAAAAGTTATTAGTTTCTGGGGCGAAAAAGGGAAATCTTTTGTACTTTCAAAATAAGACGGCTCCGCAAGGCCTTTATAGCGTCCTTTGCACACAACCAAACCTGTTCCCGTTTGTAAACGCAACGTTCGAACAGTGACATATTTAATGTGAACAATGCGTCCAACCTTTTTACACATTTGGAAGAAATGCTGTTTCCTCGTCTGAAACGCTTTTACAGTAAGAACGGCTGATAAGCGACTGACATACTTTGTTTCTGTTCTCTTTCAGTTGCTCAAATATCATAGAAGAGYACGAAGAAAAACTCGAAGCTCAGCAAAGACCAACGCCATCATCAAAGACAGGCCGTAAGATTAACAATAATAATGATATATCGGGTTTAATCGGAACTGATGAACTGGAGTTTAGCTTTGGTGGCCCAGCTAAAGACATTGGTAAGAGATTTCACATGGTTGAGAGTAAATATGTCGTATTTCCCATGTGCTGAATACAAAGTAACAATATTTTAGTCGATTGAAATGCTTTCCGAAATGCGCGGGCGCTTTTGCTTGCGTGCAAAAAAATAAAAATAAATAAATAAAAAACATCTATTTTATGCGCACGCCTGCAATATTTTTGACAGTGGTCGCACATGTCGTAATTAGTACACGCCATGCGATCCAATTCCTAAAAAATACATGGAAAAAATACTGTGGGAAGTCCGTGTATTTTGATAATAGAATGTAATGTCAGCAGAGTGGTCCAAAATCCGGTTACTACGACGATATGTATCTTTGCGCAATTTGCATCTAAGAAGTCACGTAATTCTCAACTTTTACAAATGCAAAATATTGATGCGTAGCCTCTGCATTTCTTTTTTTACTAGGTGCAGAAAGTGCGTCAGAAAGGGAACACGACTCAGCTAGCCAGTAAGTATTTACAACGCAGGTCATGTTTTAGTGAATTTAGTTAGAGTCGTAACTCGCGATGGACATATAACCCTCACAAAGAAGATTCTTGACAATTTTTTCTCTGGCGCACATATCGATATTTGTCTCATACAATAGTCTTCTTCATGATTCCCTGCGCCATCTTGAAAGGTAGCCGTGCCTTTACATCGTAGCGAGACAACCGTTGGGCTTGCAATGATCGATACCTGTGAATAATTGTCTGTAGGTGTGAAAGAAGGTTTCTATCATTGCACGCTCAACGTTCGTCTCGCTTTGATGCAAAGGCACAGCTACCTTTCAAGATAGCGCAGAGAAACGTGAATAAGACTATTTTTCAGTCAAAGGTCCTGTCTATTCAATGATATGTATGCGCGAACAGGCAAAAAAGGATGCGGAAGGCTTACTCATTTGCATGCAATATGAATTATAATATCACAATTTACCGTCCTACTTCAACTTAAAATTTGCTTTGTTGTTTAATGACAAAGTAATGTTTCTTTTCGTACTCAGTAACTCCCACGACGAAAATTCTTGGAATTCTTCTGTTGATGAGGACGTATCTGAAGTTAGTAAAAAGGTAAAAACTAGAATCAATAGGCCAATATCATACTTACACTATAAAAAGCTTGAATTATAAAATTTTTGGATTAAGTAAAAAATTAGATTAAGAGCGATATTAGACTTATTCCACCAGTTTGTCAGGACGCTTTTTTTTGTCCCCGGACAAAAGTTTGAGCGACAAACCGAAAAATCGAGGAGCGAATACTACGACTTATGGAATCAGTGTAGAGCGATATATGCTGTATTCAAAAACAGTAAAATTCTGAAGTTTCAAGTAGATAAACTGACGAATATACAAGCGTTTATTTTATGAAATGAAGAAGACAGAATCAAATCCAAAAAAAGAAATATTAAATAAGGATATGTAAAAAGAATCTTCAAATATCCGTAGTTCCATTATATTAAGATATTAATAGCTTCTCTCCGAGGTATTTTTGACATGACAACTTTGATCTTTAACTCAGTATTTCGTCGATTAGCGTGATATTGGTCTATCGGATCTAAACATCTCTTGCAACACCTAGTCGACTACATCCTAATCGTTTTGTCTTAAACCTGTGTTTCAGCAAGCCAAGCCAAGCCTTCTTGCWGCCCTTAAGCCGGTAACTCGTACAGGATCAGATGTATCAGCTCACAGTCACAGATGTAAGTACGACGTATTTAATGGGAAAGAAATAAGAGAAAAGGCACTAAGCCATGTGGGATGGTATTGGAAATCATAACAGAGCATGCGTAATGATATGTTACGAGACTTATCACGAAACGAGAAGCTGCATAACTATAAACTGTAAGGGAGAATCTCATTTTAAAGAATTTTTTGTTTCTTTAGCTGCAAGCCGCATCCCAGTCAGAAAAGATAGCATAAATTCCAACACCAGCCAAGGTAAGAACTAAAAGAAGAAAGAAGAACATGTTTCCGAGAAGCTGATCCTTTAAGACCGACAAAAGAAAGAGCTGTAATATATACTTATATGAAAACCGAGAGTGACTTTAAACAATGTTTTCTCCTTTCCTTGCCATACAGTCAGCAAACAGACGACACCTGAAAAGCCTGCTTCGCGAATACCAATTCCCGCCACCACAGGAAGCCCAATKCTACCTAAGAAGCAAAACAATGCCCCAGTCTCAACTCAGTCGACCCCAACAAACAGCACACCGGGRACACCCACTAAAGTAGCACAGACACCCACAAAGTCCACGCCCTCACTAGGTACTCCGAAAATGGATAGAGCGAATGGGCTTCATGTTCGCGGCGATGTCTCGCCATCAAGACTGTCAGGTGATGGTAAGCAGTCGTTGCCATGGGAATCTATTCAAGTGCCTTCTGATGACGAATCACAGGTGAGTGTTACTGATTTATTCCAGGCGGTAAAAATCAGGACCAATCAGGGACGGTTTTACAAGGAGAGGATAATAGCTATACATTCCTTTATAAAATTTTTGTTATATAACGCGCGCTCTGATTGGCCGACGACTGTGTTTATATCAGAGGACAGAGACACGGCTTACCGGCAAAATTTGTTTTTCGCTCGAAAAACGCAAAGAAATTTTATAAAAGAACTATAAAACGGCGCGCGTGTCTCTGTCCTCTGATATAAACACGGTGGGAGTGAAAGACACTCGAGAAGCAAGAGAAACACTCAGAGGACAGAGACACGCGCGTGGAAGGCGATTGATTGCCGAAACATGTCAAAATTGAAGGCTGTTGTTTTGTTCTTAAAAATACTATATCAAATTGTATTGCTACGTCCTTTTAAATACATATATTTTTTCATCCTATGATAGATTTCAGAGTCCGATGCCTCTGAGAAAGTTGCGGCTTTATTAGAGGAAAAGGGACCTATGGCAGCCAAGGTAACTATAACCGGAAAAGAACAGGGAAAAAAAACATTAGAAAAAATAGATGAAACCTCAAAAATAGATATGAAATAAGAGGAAAGGAACGGAAAACAAAAAACCATGTGTAATGCCTTCTATAAAATTGCTTTTCTTTCAGGAATCGAAGAATTCTAAAAGTGGTATATTTTTGACAGGTAATATCAAGCATTCTAATGGAAATGCGCGGCGGAATTTCGTGCGCACCAGCACCCGAGTACATTTGTTTTGATTTATTTACTTTTTCTTTCACAAAACGTAGAGCCGATGGATAAAACAGACGATAAAGAAAGTGATCTGAACGTCACTTTCAGCGATGACAATGACGAGGACAATTCTTCTGTGGGACTACCAATCGACGACGATTTTGATATTGTGGGAAAAGATACAAAGAAAAAAGATATAAAATCTCCAATGAATGTAGAGAAACCGCAAAATGATAAGGAAGAAAAAAAGAAAGGTAGAGTTAACAGTAGTTCATCATTTTGACAAATATATAGATGAAGAATAATAAGGAAAAGGCTTGATAGCCTGCGTGACGGCTCTAGGGGAGGGTGGAAGGGGGAAGGGGGAAAACAGAAGGGGAGGTACCCCCTCCCCTAGAGCCGTCACGCAGGCTAACGGCTTGAATTTCGGGTTGAGCTCGGCCTCGCCTCGAAATGGTCACATTTCGTATTTCATCTACATCTACATCTATTTCATTGACAATCGAGAAAATACGTTAGCAAATCTGCATATTTTTATTTTGCTATTAGACGACTGTTGCTTCAGCGGTATCTCCTATTTTTTATTAATTCAATTAATTAATTCATTTGTTTATTTATTTTATCTGATAGACGAAGGTGTGCCTAAGCTGGAATTGGGGAGCCCAGTGAGTTCCGTCTCTGAACCAGACCTGAGTGATGTGCCAAGAAAGAATGCTAAGAAAACTAAAGACACTGGAGATATCAGTATATCAGAAGGTAAGAATACTCTTATAATCTAAAACACGACCGAACTGAATGCSGGTTGGACATGGCCCTTGAATGGAATACTTACTTACACAATTTCTTATTTATTTTTTTAGACTCAGAATGGGACACATCAGACGTAAGTATCACTTTTTTATCCATACAGTAARAATTTCGTACTGTTTTAATCAGGGGTTCGTGCTAATCCTTGAAATCTTTGAAGAGACCTGGAATTGATCACTGTCGTTTTCAAGGGCGATAAAACTCCTGGAAAAATTGTCTTGAATCTAATGAAATTGACATGTTGCTTTTAGCTTTCGGATTAAAATGTCGCTATTTTTGAAAATCGCACCTGGACACGTTCGCAAACATAAAAAAAAAATCTTCAAAAAATAGTCTTGAAAATCGCATTTTTGTGCTTAAAAAGTACTTGAAAAGTCCAGACATTTTGTTTATGAAAATGTAACACGAACCCTGATCGATCTACTTGCATGTTTTTTCAACACTTGCGATTAAGTCCTAGAGACATTGTTGCGTGTAATAAATTAATATTTGTATTGCCTCCATAGGATGATATCCTTCCTTCTGACGACCCAGGGACTACTGGAGGAAGCAGCCTATTTGGTGGAAGTGCAAGGYTAACGCCTCTAGGTAAAAATAAAGAAAAACAAGCATCGAAAGTTGGRCTGCCGTCGAAGGAAGAGAGCGACTCTGAAGCTACAGARACTGAGAGTGAGTGGGAACGAGAGAATGCYAMMAAAAAGAAASTGACAAAMCTTTCCAAAGACGACGAAAAGGCCAAAGAACAAGCAAGGTTGAAGCARTGGGAAGAAGAACAAGCRGCTCGAGAAGAGGCTCTGGCTTTGGAAATGCAAAAAGAACTCGAAATGGAAATGGAAATGGAAAGGCTGGAAAGAGAATCAGACGAGAAAAGAAAACTCCAAGAACAACAAGAGGAAAGAGAAGACAGAGAAAGACGAGATGAAGAATTAAGGTTGTTACAAGAAGAAAGGGATAGAATAAGAAAAAGTGAAGAAGAAAAACTTGAAAGGGAAAAAGAAGAACGTGCTCGRGTCGAAGAAGCGTTRCGATCATTAGAAATCGAGAAAGAGCAAGAAAGACTACGAATTGAACGCGAGAAAGAAGAAGAACTYGAAAGACAGATGAGATTGAAAGAAGAAGAAATGWTGAGGTTGAAGAAGGAAAGGGATGATGAGAGGCAACGATTGGAAGAAGAAGAGAGAAGACTACGACTTCAAAAYGAACAAGAACTACAGCGTATTCAACTGGAGAGAGAGGAAGAACTCGAACGACAAATGAAAGCAAAAGARCATCAGATGGAAATGCAGAAACGARCTTACGAAGAACGACTTGAACGTGAAAGGAAATTCCTTGAGGACAGAGAAGCKGARGAAGCAAGAAGACGCAAAGAAGAGGCCCTCCGAAATGAGGAAATTGAAAGACAACGACAACAAGAGCTTTTGGACAGACAAAGAAAGATCAAAGAGGAGGAAGACAACTTGTTAGAAGCTTACCGCAAAAAGCAAGAAGAACTGCTTGAACAGGAGCGAAGATTTGAGGAAGAAATGGCGAGGCGAGAACGAGAGCTCGAAGAAAAGATGAGAACAAAAGAGCTGGAACGACAGCCAGTTATGGAAGAACCGTTATTTGCTGTTCACAAACAAGACGTCCATGCTTCGGTGAGGATATTTTAAGTAAATTGATAATAGTTTACTAATAAAACTCATCCATCATTGAAAAAATGGGCAAGTAATGCATTATCTATCGACTAAGGCATTTACTCTGCAGATATCCCAGAAATTTCGTGACATAGAGAAATCAAGAGGCGCTAACGTTACCAATATTTACCAAAAAGCTTAGTTTTTAATACGGCGTCTAGCTCTCTCGGGGGAAAATAGTTCTGTGTTTGTCATCGTGTACTTTCTGATCTTGTTTCTTGCCTCAATCATGCTGGGCATTGTGCCTTATTGTGATCGCGAGTATCAAGAAATAGTCGAAATTATTCAAGTAAGTGAACTGTTCGACACTGGTTATCAATGGAAAACTGAATTTACTATTTCAGTGGAGTGTTGTATTTGTAAACAAAGCGATTTTGTTGTTGTGCTTTGAACAGTTTTCGCGTCTTTGTGAAAAACCTCTGATATCGTTTATTGCGGCTCAAGTTTGAAGCGTTTTATTATATTTCTGGGGTGTTTTCCAAACTGAAATATTGAAAGCAACAGATATATTTTCTCTATAGCTATATTGGTTAAAAGTTTGATTCTCTAAGAAGGGCAGCTCCACTCAATTCTTAAAGATTTGTTTTCGATATTTTATCATTTAATTGCTGGTTTATTGAATGATTTATTTTCCTATCCGTTTGCAGTTAACTTTTGTCAACCATTTATTGTACTCATGTAATGGCAATATAATAAATACGCAAAGTAAATGACACTCTACAACTTACAAATACAATATAAGTCCCACTAATTACTTTGATCAAAACATTAATCTTAAACATCTCACTTATCTCTTCATTAAAACTCGTAAATTGCTGTTATGTAGGAGCCACTATTGTATTTATTGTAATATAGTATGCCAAACTAGAACTTATTTTAAAACACACTGGTTTTTGCATACATGGATGGGTAAGAGAGATCTTTTGATTCATTGTGCGAAGGCACCAAACCCTTGAAATATTTACTCGTTAAATGAATTGCTTTCCTAAAACTTCGAGTAATTGTATTTTGCTTAAAGGCCGAGGGATTCACGTTCAATAATCTTAGTCTTATTGTGCTTATCTGTTGCTGTCTTCATATTCCAGGAATTGAACGATCTCGGTTCTTTCAAGAAGTCACACGAGGAAAGTCTAGCCCAAGAGAAAGTAGACTTAGCAAACTCCATTCGAAAACGCGAAGAAGAGTCGCGCAGAGAAAAAGAAGCGATACGAACCCTTCAAGAGAGCCAAGAAGACTTGAAACAGCGACATGACAATCTCAAATCAAAGAGTCTTCAAGATTTGACAACGGAAGCAGAAGAAGAAGAGATGCAAAAATTGGCGGAGTCCATTCGATGGAAAAAAGCTGAGCAAGAAATGCTTGAAGARCAGCAAAAGGCACACCAAGATCTTGCTGACCAGCATGCTTTGGAAGTTAAGATCGGTAAGTGTGGACCCCTTGATTAATTTGATTATGGGAATATTATTTAATTTTTCTCGTGTCAACATTTCTACTCTGCGAACAGAAAGTAGCTCTGTTCGCAGAGTACAACATTTCTAGATTCTTATTTAAAAATTGACTCTTATTTTAACTAATTGGTCTCGCAGATTTTTTTGTTTTGTTTTGTTTTGTTTTTCATTTTCTGAATTCTGATCCTCTTCCGTGATCTATATTTCGCTGGTTTGTGATTCCAATTTTGAGCCTGAGGTCGCAATGTCGCTGGAAGTAACATTAACCGACTTACCCCTCCCCTACTCTGTAACTAAATACCCTGTTTACAGTCTTCACGAGTCAATGAACATGGCGTCCTTTTCCATAGAAACGGCTCGTGTCAATTATTTTTGATCATGTCCTCGTGGTTTTGTTTTATTTAAGATACTTCTAGACGTTTAACTTTTAGAGGTTTTAAAATCCTTTTGGGCAACGGAGGAAAGGGATTTTTGTGGATTTCTAGGAGAASARTATTACCACTCGAGCTTGCTGTATTGAGTTTCGATTACCAATYTTTTGTTTCGCTGAAGTGACGGCTTTAATGTAGTTCTGTGTTAAAACACAAGMTGAATATGGATGATATGTGTCAAGAACTGGTTGTAATGAYGGTAAGGTGTTTTGGTTAGTTAACGGAAGTTATTTGACTTAATTCAGTGCTAAATTCTAATATATTCAATATATTTGAGTTGATTTGACACCAGAGTATCAATGCCAAAGAGTCATAAATCTATTTTACTTTGTATAAAAAAAGATTATAGCGCTTAAAATATGTTGCTTGTATTACCTTTTCAGAATCGGTCATATTTTCTTATCTTTTTCGGTCAATTTTGCTTTTCCTTTTTGTCTAAAAAAGTCAATTACATTATGCGTCWWATCTTGACTTGTTTGATTAGTTGAGTAGTTGATTGAATTGCTTTTTTATAATTTAAGTGCATAGTCAACAAACTACAAGGGGAAAAATTTACCAACATTATTTCTTGACACTGAGAGATTAGCTCACTTTAGGGCAATATGCACTTTAAGATGTCGTTAGCAAAGTATACTGATCCTGTATTTCTTCCGTGACATTGTGACTCGCCGTATCAATTTCTAAAAGCGGATGTACCCGCCAGAATTAACTAAATAAGCCGACAAGAATCTGTAAGTGAAATGGACTTGATATCCGTGTTTATAGACTACAATCTTACTAAGTACAATCTGTACATTAGCTTGAAGTTACACTTTACACGTACATCTGTCTTGTCGGTGAGTATTTCATTACRCTATGAAAATTGRCGGTAAATTTACGTTGCCGGTGCAMAGAACATCACTTCCATTAACTCTTTTTCTAAATTAACAGAGCGTCTCGAAACTTCAATGTATCACAAATATATATAGAAGAAATAATGTTAAAAACGACTTCGTGTGTGGTAACTACAACATAAATCATGAAAATTATCAGTTGACGGTCTGAACATAGAATATGCATAATATTGGCCACTTACTTCATAATGTAATTCATAAAATCTATTAACTTTTTTCATCCAATGAAAAGTAGAATCTGCTTTGACCTTTATCCAATGAAAAGTAAAATCTACTTGACTTTTAGGCCATAAGAAATGTTATAATGCCTGCATATCTTTTTGTACAGAGATGGAAAAGCGTCAGCTTCAAGATTTAGAAACTAGAAAAGAGATCCTAGACCGACAAGTTGGTGCAAAACTGACTGAATTGGCCAACAGAAAAAGACGAGACGAGCTCGAGGAGAAATCTCGACARCTTATGCAAGAGAGAGAAGCGTTAAATGCGTCGTTTGAGGCTGCTAAACGAAGAAGTGCCATGTTGGAGTTTGAATCCACACCWGAGAATTTGAGCTACGAGGACGGTGATGGCAATACGAGGTAGGGGCTAATAGCTCAATAATAATCATAATCATAATTTAATGGAAATATTATTTATTGTGGTTTATGTATGTGTTTTCAGTAAAAATTACGCCGACAAAGAAAAAGGTTCACCAACAAAGGTACGTTCTCAGTCTTTTTACATCCCTTAAGTGTGGTTCATTGTGGTGTAACTTCAACATATGCAATACTACTATAATGTTTGGTCAGAAAAATGAATTGTAGTTGTGAACAAACCAGTACTTTAAAGGACTAGAGCGGATTTCGTATGAGTGGGACACCGTTATCGCACGGTTACCGCACAGTTGCCGGACATGGCCTGCACAATTTTTGTGAACCAATGGGGCACTAGAATTTGGTTACGGAACGGTTACGGTCACAGTACAGTACCGTCCGTTTCCCACTCATACGAAATCCGCTCTATGGTCGACACTCATTGCGGTCGTGTTTTAGATTTCAGTTCAAAAATCTACTAGCAATCCATTTCCATCCGTTGGTTTCAAACATATTATCTCCATTGAAAAAGCATATTTAAAGGGATAATTAAGAGCAAGTCTTTGCTTATGTATTATGATATAATTTAATTTTCAAACATAAACGAAAGCTTRCAAGGGATGCCGGTTGATCATGATCCTTTAAGGCATTTTGTAGTGACTRCGATTTTTCGGGAAAARCACTAATGAAATGGTTCACTCTAAACCCRTTTCCTTCACAAAATTGTTCTAAACAATTGTATTTTTCCAACACMCCAGSCTCTCTCGAACGGCTATGTCGAKGATGTGGACTGGTCTGAGTCATCAGAAGAAGGTAACCAGCCCTTCAGTCCWGCAACYGCACAGATACTAAGYAGCAGTATGCCTCGTTTCCAGTCCACAACAAAAGCAGAYGGTCAGRTKGAGTCTCCGATAACGCAGAGCATATCACCGATCGCCAAAAGTGCACCGGCATTGTCCAGTTCGTTTACATTGCCACCGCAAGGTAATTAGTTAAGTAATTGAATATGAAATTGATAACTGCCGAGTAATTGTCCTTGCAAATTTAGGTCTATAGTTTCCTGGAACCCTTGAATCCCTGCAACTGGAGGACAAAGCAATACATGCTTTAAGTCTTAAGCGCGCAAAAAAAAAATCATTTGTTTTGTACTCCAGATAAGTCACGTGCAAGGGGTCTATTCCCTAATGTTTTCCAAACTTGATAGCCCGCTTTCAAATGCTTTCAGGGCGGCGACGATAACATTTCCTTACACATCTATTCAGCGCAGTTTAGACCATCATTTCAACAAATGTGGATAGCTAACTATTCTTCCCATGCCTCCAATTTTCTTTTCATATTTCCTTTTGTTTTTCTATACCCTATGATCCATGTAATATATTTTCATCCCTTATATTTGCCATTCATTATATTTTTGTTATCGTTTCGTTCATTTCCGTCCTACCAGTCCCTTAATAATCAATTCGTGAAGCTTTTTTTTTTCTTCTCGTGCTAAACTCACTTAAAAGACATTTATATTGATATTCGCCTTCGAAAGGATTAACAATTTAAGTATAGAATGTATCTATATTTGTCCACATTTTATTTAATGGCGTAAAATATCTCATGATTGCTTTCAAATTATAAACAAGCACATAATCCGACCTGTTTTTCAAAGTTATTTTGAATGGATTAAYTGTCATTATATTMTTCGGAAATGCGAACTATTTAATGGGCATTCTGTTCTTTTATGCTCGAGCCACAGGATGTTAAAAAAATGTCCTTATGACGAAAGCTGTACGGAAGACGCGCGCGCACTTTCCCGCCCTTTTCCATTATGACATCACAGTGTTTTCGAGTTGATTCAAAACCAACATGATCAGTTAATCCTCGTAGTTTGTCAGATTAAGATATAAGATATCCAATATTTACTTACCATATCAAACATTGAAATCTGAAATGAAGGATGAACTGGAAGAAAACGCACTAATTCTTGAATGTAAGCTGATCTTTTTGAAGCAAAAGCCGCTATTTTTATTGTGTTAATTCCTTTGACGCATTTCTCTTNTCTACTTTTCATTGACAATCGAGAAAATACTTTAGCAAATCTGCATATTTATTTTGCTATTAGACGACTGTTGCTTCAGCGGTATCTCCTATTTTATTTATTTAATGATTAATTAATTAATTCATTTGTTTATTTATTTTATCTGATAGACGAAGGTGTGCCCAAGCTGGAATTGGGGAGCCCAGTGAGTTCCGTCTCTGAACCAGACCTGAGTGATGTGCCAAGAAAGAATGCTAAGAAAACTAAAGACACTGGAGATATCAGTATATCAGAAGGTAAGAATACTCTTATAATCTAAAACACGACCGAACTGAATGCGGGTTGGACATGGCCCTTGAATGGAATACTTACTTACACAATTTCTTATTTATTTTTTTAGACTCAGAATGGGACACATCAGACGTAAGTATCACTTTTTTATCCATACAGTAAAAATTTCGTACTGTTTTAATCAGGGGTTCGTGCTAATCCTTGAAATCTTTGAAGAGACCTGGAATTGATCACTGTCGTTTTCAAGGGCGATAAAACTCCTGGAAAAATTGTCTTGAATCTAATGAAATTGACATGTTGCTTTTAGCTTTCGGATTAAAATGTTGCTATTTTTGAAAATCGCCACTGGACACGTTCGCAAACATAAAAAAAAAATCTTCAAAAAATAGTCTTGAAAATCGCATTTTTGTGCTTAAAAAGTACTTGAAAAGTCCAGACATTTTGTTTATGAAAATGTAACACGAACCCTGATCGATCTACTTGCATGTTTTTTCAACACTTGCGATTAAGTCCTAGAGACATTGTTGCGTGTAATAAATTAATATTTGTATTGCCTCCATAGGATGATATCCTTCCTTCTGACGACCCAGGGACTACTGGAGGAAGCAGCCTATTTGGTGGAAGTGCAAGGYTAACGCCTCTAGGTAAAAATAAAGAAAAACAAGCATCGAAAGTTGGRCTGCCGTCGAAGGAAGAGAGCGACTCTGAAGCTACAGARACTGAGAGTGAGTGGGAACGAGAGAATGCYAMMAAAAAGAAASTGACAAAMCTTTCCAAAGACGACGAAAAGGCCAAAGAACAAGCAAGGTTGAAGCARTGGGAAGAAGAACAAGCRGCTCGAGAAGAGGCTCTGGCTTTGGAAATGCAAAAAGAACTCGAAATGGAAATGGAAATGGAAAGGCTGGAAAGAGAATCAGACGAGAAAAGAAAACTCCAAGAACAACAAGAGGAAAGAGAAGACAGAGAAAGACGAGATGAAGAATTAAGGTTGTTACAAGAAGAAAGGGATAGAATAAGAAAAAGTGAAGAAGAAAAACTTGAAAGGGAAAAAGAAGAACGTGCTCGRGTCGAAGAAGCGTTRCGATCATTAGAAATCGAGAAAGAGCAAGAAAGACTACGAATTGAACGCGAGAAAGAAGAAGAACTYGAAAGACAGATGAGATTGAAAGAAGAAGAAATGWTGAGGTTGAAGAAGGAAAGGGATGATGAGAGGCAACGATTGGAAGAAGAAGAGAGAAGACTACGACTTCAAAAYGAACAAGAACTACAGCGTATTCAACTGGAGAGAGAGGAAGAACTCGAACGACAAATGAAAGCAAAAGARCATCAGATGGAAATGCAGAAACGARCTTACGAAGAACGACTTGAACGTGAAAGGAAATTCCTTGAGGACAGAGAAGCKGARGAAGCAAGAAGACGCAAAGAAGAGGCYCTYCGAAATGAGGAAATTGAAAGACAACGACAACAAGAGCTTTTGGACAGACAAAGAAAGATCAAAGAGGAGGAAGACAACTTGTTAGAAGCTTACCGCAAAAAGCAAGAAGAACTGCTTGAACAGGAGCGAAGATTTGAGGAAGAAATGGCGAGGCGAGAACGAGAGCTCGAAGAAAAGATGAGAACAAAAGAGCTGGAACGACAGCCAGTTATGGAAGAACCGTTATTTGCTGTTCACAAACAAGACGTCCATGCTTCGGTGAGGATATTTTAAGTAAATTGATAATAGTTTACTAATAAAACTCATCCATCATTGAAAAAATGGGCAAGTAATGCATTATCTATCGACTAAGGCATTTACTCTGCAGATATCCCAGAAATTTCGTGACATAGAGAAATCAAGAGGCGCTAACGTTACCAATATTTACCAAAAAGCTTAGTTTTTAATACGGCGTCTAGCTCTCTCGGGGGAAAATAGTTCTGTGTTTGTCATCGTGTACTTTCTGATCTTGTTTCTTGCCTCAATCATGCTGGGCATTGTGCCTTATTGTGATCGCGAGTATCAAGAAATAGTCGAAATTATTCAAGTAAGTGAACTGTTCGACACTGGTTATCAATGGAAAACTGAATTTACTATTTCAGTGGAGTGTTGTATTTGTAAACAAAGCGATTTTGTTGTTGTGCTTTGAACAGTTTTCGCGTCTTTGTGAAAAACCTCTGATATCGTTTATTGCGGCTCAAGTTTGAAGCGTTTTATTATATTTCTGGGGTGTTTTCCAAACTGAAATATTGAAAGCAACAGATATATTTTCTCTATAGCTATATTGGTTAAAAGTTTGATTCTCTAAGAAGGGCAGCTCCACTCAATTCTTAAAGATTTGTTTTCGATATTTTATCATTTAATTGCTGGTTTATTGAATGATTTATTTTCCTATCCGTTTGCAGTTAACTTTTGTCAACCATTTATTGTACTCATGTAATGGCAATATAATAAATACGCAAAGTAAATGACACTCTACAACTTACAAATACAATATAAGTCCCACTAATTACTTTGATCAAAACATTAATCTTAAACATCTCACTTATCTCTTCATTAAAACTCGTAAATTGCTGTTATGTAGGAGCCACTATTGTATTTATTGTAATATAGTATGCCAAACTAGAACTTATTTTAAAACACACTGGTTTTTGCATACATGGATGGGTAAGAGAGATCTTTTGATTCATTGTGCGAAGGCACCAAACCCTTGAAATATTTACTCGTTAAATGAATTGCTTTCCTAAAACTTCGAGTATTGTATTTTGCTTAAAGGCCGAGGGATTCACGTTCAATAATCTTAGTCTTATTGTGCTTATCTGTTGCTGTCTTCATATTCCAGGAATTGAACGATCTCGGTTCTTTCAAGAAGTCACACGAGGAAAGTCTAGCCCAAGAGAAAGTAGACTTAGCAAACTCCATTCGAAAACGCGAAGAAGAGTCGCGCAGAGAAAAAGAAGCGATACGAACCCTTCAAGAGAGCCAAGAAGACTTGAAACAGCGACATGACAATCTCAAATCAAAGAGTCTTCAAGATTTGACAACGGAAGCAGAAGAAGAAGAGATGCAAAAATTGGCGGAGTCCATTCGATGGAAAAAAGCTGAGCAAGAAATGCTTGAAGARCAGCAAAAGGCACACCAAGATCTTGCTGACCAGCATGCTTTGGAAGTTAAGATCGGTAAGTGTGGACCCCTTGATTAATTTGATTATGGGAATATTATTTAATTTTTCTCGTGTCAACATTTCTACTCTGCGAACAGAAAGTAGCTCTGTTCGCAGAGTACAACATTTCTAGATTCTTATTTAAAAATTGACTCTTATTTTAACTAATTGGTCTCGCAGATTTTTTTGTTTTGTTTTGTTTTGTTTTTCATTTTCTGAATTCTGATCCTCTTCCGTGATCTATATTTCGCTGGTTTGTGATTCCAATTTTGAGCCTGAGGTCGCAATGTCGCTGGAAGTAACATTAACCGACTTACCCCTCCCCTACTCTGTAACTAAATACCCTGTTTACAGTCTTCACGAGTCAATGAACATGGCGTCCTTTTCCATAGAAACGGCTCGTGTCAATTATTTTTGATCATGTCCTCGTGGTTTTGTTTTATTTAAGATACTTCTAGACGTTTAACTTTTAGAGGTTTTAAAATCCTTTTGGGCAACGGAGGAAAGGGATTTTTGTGGATTTCTAGGAGAASARTATTACCACTCGAGCTTGCTGTATTGAGTTTCGATTACCAATYTTTTGTTTCGCTGAAGTGACGGCTTTAATGTAGTTCTGTGTTAAAACACAAGMTGAATATGGATGATATGTGTCAAGAACTGGTTGTAATGAYGGTAAGGTGTTTTGGTTAGTTAACGGAAGTTATTTGACTTAATTCAGTGCTAAATTCTAATATATTCAATATATTTGAGTTGATTTACACCAGAGTATCAATGCCAAAGAGTCATAAATCTATTTTACTTTGTATAAAAAAAGATTATAGCGCTTAAAATATGTTGCTTGTATTACCTTTTCAGAATCGGTCATATTTTCTTATCTTTTTCGGTCAATTTTGCTTTTCCTTTTTGTCTAAAAAAGTCAATTACATTATGCGTCWWATCTTGACTTGTTTGATTAGTTGAGTAGTTGATTGAATTGCTTTTTTATAATTTAAGTGCATAGTCAACAAACTACAAGGGGAAAAATTTACCAACATTATTTCTTGACACTGAGAGATTAGCTCACTTTAGGGCAATATGCACTTTAAGATGTCGTTAGCAAAGTATACTGATCCTGTATTTCTTCCGTGACATTGTGACTCGCCGTATCAATTTCTAAAAGCGGATGTACCCGCCAGAATTAACTAAATAAGCCGACAAGAATCTGTAAGTGAAATGGACTTGATATCCGTGTTTATAGACTACAATCTTACTAAGTACAATCTGTACATTAGCTTGAAGTTACACTTTAYACGTACATCTGTCTTGTCGGTGAGTATTTCATTACRCTATGAAAATTGRCGGTAAATTTACGTTGCCGGTGCAMAGAACATCACTTCCATTAACTCTTTTTCTAAATTAACAGAGCGTCTCGAAACTTCAATGTATCACAAATATATATAGAAGAAATAATGTTAAAAACGACTTCGTGTGTGGTAACTACAACATAAATCATGAAAATTATCAGTTGACGGTCTGAACATAGAATATGCATAATATTGGCCACTTACTTCATAATGTAATTCATAAAATCTATTARCTTTTTTCATCCAATGAAAAGTAGAATCTGCTTTGACCTTTATCCAATGAAAAGTAAAATCTACTTGACTTTTAGGCCATAAGAAATGTTATAATGCCTGCATATCTTTTTGTACAGAGATGGAAAAGCGTCAGCTTCAAGATTTAGAAACTAGAAAAGAGATCCTAGACCGACAAGTTGGTGCAAAACTGACTGAATTGGCCAACAGAAAAAGACGAGACGAGCTCGAGGAGAAATCTCGACAGCTTATGCAAGAGAGAGAAGCGTTAAATGCGTCGTTTGAGGCTGCTAAACGAAGAAGTGCCATGTTGGAGTTTGAATCCACACCTGAGAATTTGAGCTACGAGGACGGTGATGGCAATACGAGGTAGGGGCTAATAGCTCAATAATAATCATAATCATAATTTAATGGAAATATTATTTATTGTGGTTTATGTATGTGTTTTCAGTAAAAATTACGCCGACAAAGAAAAAGGTTCACCAACAAAGGTACGCTCTCAGTCTTTTTACACCCTTAAGTGTGGTTCTCTGTGGTTTAACTTCAACATATGCAATACTACTATAATGTTTGGTCAGAAAAATGAATTGTAGTTGTGAACAAACCAGTACTTTAAAGGACTAGAGCGGATTTCGTATGAGTGGGACACCGTTATCGCACGGTTACCGCACAGTTGCCGGACATGGCCTGCACAATTTTTGTGAACCAATGGGGCACTAGAATTTGGTTACGGAACGGTTACGGTCACAGTACAGTACCGTCCGTTTCCCACTCATACGAAATCCGCTCTATGGTCGACACTCATTGCGGTCGTGTTTTAGATTTCAGTTCAAAAATCTACTAGCAATCCATTTCCATCCGTTGGTTTCAAACATATTATCTCCATTGAAAAAGCATATTTAAAGGGATAATTAAGAGCAAGTCTTTGCTTATGTATTATGATATAATTTAATTTTCAAACATAAACGAAAGCTTRCAAGGGATGCCGGTTGATCATGATCCTTTAAGGCATTTTGTAGTGACTRCGATTTTTCGGGAAAARCACTAATGAAATGGTTCACTCTAAACCCRTTTCCTTCACAAAATTGTTCTAAACAATTGTATTTTTCCAACACMCCAGSCTCTCTCGAACGGCTATGTCGAKGATGTGGACTGGTCTGAGTCATCAGAAGAAGGTAACCAGCCCTTCAGTCCWGCAACYGCACAGATACTAAGYAGCAGTATGCCTCGTTTCCAGTCCACAACAAAAGCAGAYGGTCAGRTKGAGTCTCCGATAACGCAGAGCATATCACCGATCGCCAAAAGTGCACCGGCATTGTCCAGTTCGTTTACATTGCCACCGCAAGGTAATTAGTTAAGTAATTGAATATGAAATTGATAACTGCCGAGTAATTGTCCTTGCAAATTTAGGTCTATAGTTTCCTGGAACCCTTGAATCCCTGCAACTGGAGGACAAAGCAATACATGCTTTAAGTCTTAAGCGCGCAAAAAAAAAATCATTTGTTTTGTACTCCAGATAAGTCACGTGCAAGGGGTCTATTCCCTAATGTTTTCCAAACTTGATAGCCCGCTTTCAAATRCTTTCAGGGCGGCGACGATAACATTTCCTTACACATCTATTCAGCGCAGTTTAGACCATCATTTCAACAAATGTGGATAGCTAACTATTCTTCCCATGCCTCCAATTTTCTTTTCATATTTCCTTTTGTTTTTCTATACCCTATGATCCATGTAATATATTTTCATCCCTTATATTTGCCATTCATTATATTTTTGTTATCGTTTCGTTCATTTCCGTCCTACCAGTCCCTTAATAATCAATTCGTGAAGCTTTTTTTTTTCTTCTCGTGCTAAACTCACTTAAAAGACATTTATATTGATATTCGCCTTCGAAAGGATTAACAATTTAAGTATAGAATGTATCTATATTTGTCCACATTTTATTTAATGGCGTAAAATATCTCATGATTGCTTTCAAATTATAAACAAGCACATAATCCGACCTGTTTTTCAAAGTTATTTTGAATGGATTAAYTGTCATTATATTMTTCGGAAATGCGAACTATTTAATGGGCATTCTGTTCTTTTATGCTCGAGCCACAGGATGTTAAAAAAATGTCCTTATGACGAAAGCTGTACGGAAGACGCGCGCGCACTTTCCCGCCCTTTTCCATTATGACATCACAGTGTTTTCGAGTTGATTCAAAACCAACATGATCAGTTAATCCTCGTAGTTTGTCAGATTAAGATATAAGATATCCAATATTTACTTACCATATCAAACATTGAAATCTGAAATGAAGGATGAACTGGAAGAAAACGCACTAATTCTTGAATGTAAGCTGATCTTTTTGAAGCAAAAGCCGCTATTTTTATTGTGTTAATTCCTTTGACGCATTTCTCTTCATTCTCAAAACCAATATGTACCTATTTGAGACATCCGCAAATATTAGCTTTGATTGATATTGAACTTGTTTATATGCTGGAATTTTTTAGATGCCCAGAGCACTAGTCGACTGCAAGAGTCTCTTCGCGAAGCAAAAAGGCAGATTGATAAGCTTAAAGAACGAAACGTAGCTTTGGAAWCGAGTAGAAAACACCTCGAAAAAGACTTAGCTGAAGTTCAAGGGTATGCAATGTTTATCTTCTCTAACCAAATTTATTTATTTATTTACTTATTTTTTTTTTTTTTTTTTGAACTCTGCGAAAAAATAGACAACTGTAATGCCTCATTTGAAATTATTCTTTGCTGTCTGAATGTTGAATTTCTTTTGTGCAGCTATGAAGCAAAAGAGAATGTAATGCCCACTTTTTTTCAGGAAACTACAAACTGTGTTAAAGAATAAAGCAGACGTCGAGCACTCCCGACTTCAAACCGAATCAGATATCCGTAGTCTTCGTTACAAGTACGAACAAGAAAACGAAGCCCGAAGAGTTGCCGAGTCGTTATTGACGCAGCTTAAAGAGCAAATTAAAAGATCGGACGAAAAGCTTGCCAAGTGAGTTATGGATATTTCTGTTAACATATAAAAGTAAACCTACAAAATAAGTTAAAAAAACGTGGTCGGGAGTGAGTTCTTAATCGCGCCGTAGTTTCCAGTAGTTTTTGCCGTTTCGCTGAGATTTTCTTCACACACGCGCACACAATTTTATTCAAAACATGAAATGAAAGAGAAAAAAAAATTGGACAAGAAACTAAAGCGTTCAGTTGATCACCAAAGGAACTGAAATTGCAATCAATTAGCTTCTTTCTGTTCCACTGTTCCTCAGTGTCGCTGTATTTTTAACTAAAATATCAACAATTTTTATGCATATTTTCAAAATACTCATCAGGTTTTCAAATATGCAACCACGGATAATTGAAACTCGATATCTTTCGGAAAATATCGACATTTTCAAAGAATGTAGTTCCGTAGCGACGATAATGATCATTTTCACAAACATGAYATCACGGTTAATGGAGTTATTCTGCTATTAAGGCGTAAGATACATTAATCGGCCTCTGTCTGTGTGCGCCGCTTATTCTTGGTCTCTTGGTCATGTCCAGTAAAGTGCGTTTTATAAATAACAAATTTACAAATTTTATATGGATTAGACCTGAGAACGCTTAAATAAATAACAGGTTATATYCTGAATGTTTACTAAACCCATGAGCGGGAATTATCCTCATTTCCTTTGTTTTCAGAAAGCTTTAGAAGTATATCAATATACATGGGATTCCTTTTAATAAGTTACTCAATTTTTGCGCGCGTCATTGCATTATCTGAAAGTAAAAATAGCAGCCCTATAAGTGTTTCTATTCCTAGGTCATTTCCACATTAAAAGCATTAAGCTGAAACAATTTAATGCCTCTGTCTAAGGGATTATTTTTGAATTATTTTTATGAGGTTGAAGTGTTTTCGAAAATTACCTTCGACTGAACGTCTCGACAGTTCATGTCATTGCTTTGAGTGAACCTTCTTCGATTCACGAACCAACATTTTTCAATACAAAGTTGTTTTTCCTTTCACTCTCGGCCCCATTTTAGATTACTCTCGACACATARGGAGTTAATGCCGTTAAAACGTCTTTCTTATTTTTATTCCATTGTAAATTAAACACAGAGAGATGGAATGCAGACAAAAGCTGGAAGCAGAAATGCGTCATCTCCAAAAAGACAAGAAAAACCATCTGCAGACACTAAGCCATCAGGAAACAGACTTGACTGAACTACAAAAGGCTCTCTCTGAGGAACAAGAGGCGCGATTGCGCATGACAGAAATGTATAATGACGYCAAGAAGCAGATGTCTGTGTTATTGGAGGAAGCTCGAACTACAACCCAAGAAAAGGCAGTGGTTATGGCTGAACTAGAAGCAGTCGATCAGACGAGAAAAACACATGAAGCTAATAGCGGATCTTTAAGAGATCAACTTATGAGTGCCCAGGTTAGTATGCGCTACCTGATTGGCTAATGTTAGTTTTATATAATGTTTAAGATGTAACGCGCCCTCCGATTGGTTAATRATAGTTTATAAGACATTTGGGATGTAACACGCTCTCTGATAGGCTAATGTTAGTTTTATATCATGTTTAGATGAAACGCGCTCTCCGATTRGTTAATGATAGTTTATAAGGCATGTAACGCGCTCTCTGATTGGCTAATATTGGTTTTATATCATGTTTAAGATGTACCGCGCCCTCCGATTGGTCAATGATATTTATAMGATATCTGAGATGTAGCGCGCTCTCTGACTGGCTAATGATAGTTTTTAGGATATTTAAGGTGTAACGCGTTCTCTGATTGGCTGGTTACAAAGTTTACAGCATGTAAAGAGAACGTTGGGTAAATTGGRGATAGACCGTGAGATCCTGGGACCGACATTGACTAGTTTCTACCTTATAATATAAACACGAAGTATTTTTATCCATTGATTATATCTGATTAACTAACTGGCCTATAGCTGAAATGATTTTTTTTAATCATGGATGTGCAGCCACTCATCTCTTTTAGCAAACTTAAAAGAAAAAAAAATCTAAAACAAAACTTTCTTTTCTTGTCTTTCTGTAGACTGAATTGGCTGAGACTAAAGCTCGTCTGGAAGGCACAGTTTTAGCAAACAACAAAGAATTAGCCATGTTTAAGGAAAAACTTCAGAAAAAGACTGAAAAATTGGTATGTATAATTGATAGCTTACATAGTTATATCATATGAATTGTTGATTAATTATTGGTCAACGTTTTATATTTACTCGTTCAATTTTTCATTTTCCCGCTTTTATCTCTCAATCTGAATAGGCCAAAGCGGATGAACTGATATCAGATCTACGAGCAAGCAACGAATCCCAGCAAGCCAACACCTCGAAAGAACAAGCTAATCTCAATAACAAGCTTGAGAGTGAGATCCAGGAAAGAAAACGAATGGAATCAGAGGTGAATATATAGTAGTTAGTCGTGGGTGGTCTGGAGTGATCCGACATTTCTCGTTTGATTGAGGCTCTATACATTAAGAAATAGTTGGTCGCCGACCGACCAGCATTGTGAGAAGTTACCGCTCACACGTGAAATCAAGGTCTGAATTCTCTTGAATTTACTTATTGAATTCCTCTTTAGATATTTTAATACGCGATTTGTTAATTAATTTTTGTCCAAAATAACGCAAATTGAAATAGAGATTGCATAAGACCGGCATTTGCGCATGCTCATAGATTAGCGCGTGCGTCTAATGTTTTGTTAATAGGTTTGTTCAGACTTCCTCTTTATTTCCAGATCGCTTCGTTGAAAATAAGACTTGAAAATGCCAACAACGAATTGGATAAGGCTTCGTCTGCGAGAAGCCAAGCAGAAAAGTGAGTGTTCTAATAGTACTTATCAACACAAGAGTAAATCGCACATTCCGTTTAGCGCTATAAATACACCGAAATTGCTGTCACTTCTAGTTTTCTAAAGCGTGTATTTTGTGTTTTGTAGTACGACCCATAATCTGAAAGACGAACTTTACCAGGCTAAACTACAGCTAGAAAAAGACATTGCATCGCTAAGGGAGTCAAATCAGGTAACATTKTATTWTRAWAGGATTGTAGTATCGTTTACTGCAAATGATATGAAAAAAGCTTTAGTAATTTTCCCTTGAAAATTTCATGGTATTTTTGTTCATTGTTGCTTTTCTATGTGTGGTGTTTATATGTGATTTTTTTCCATTTTATTGTTTTCCTTCTTTCATCTTTGTGATGTGTTATTCACTTTTTCAGCCCTCTCTTTCTTATTTCCTTCCTTATTTTCATTGATTTATTCCTAGGTTATTCTTTTATTCATTTCTAAACTCAGCTCTTCTTCGATTACCTAAATAGTGTACTTTTCCGCATTGCAAACAGATTGCCCAACAAGTAAACTTAAATTCATAATAATTTGAAGTACTTGTGGATGTTATCAAGTTTTAGCTTTCTTTGTTTCATGTGATCTTACGTTTTCTCGGAAYACTAGAAAGTACGTGCCTAATTAGTCTAACTTCTTGTTAAGGGCAAGACGAAACATAGTTAACTAGAAAAAAAAGCAATTTATTCCGCTATTGCATAAATAGAAACTGAAGGCTAGATTTACAAACTGTTAAAAAGAAAATTTACAGAGAATTTACAGAGATTTTATAGCAGCTCATAAAAAGAAAAGTAATATCAAAATTCCCCTAGAATATGTGCTGAGCCTTTAATATTTAATTTAAAGTATTTTATAGGGGTTTTCTATATTTTTTTTCCAAAAAGGAATCTTTTTTTTTTTCGATACACTAAAGACTAGAGCTAGAGTTATTGATTTACAAGTGCTGTCTAGTTAGACAGATAAAAAAATGTTTAAGCCTCTGTGGCCATTAAAACAAGCAACGTCTGCTACTTCCGCGATGCTTATTATTCCAATGGACTTTTTGATGATTTAATTGAAAGAATTTTATATACACTTACTTGCATATRCAAAATACCATTAAAATCGTTAGTACATTTTCAGATAGAAATAGATTATCAGTGCCGCTAGGCTTGCGTGGTTTATAGCATCACAAAAGGAAAACAAGCAAAATATACAACAACAACAACAGCAACAACAACAAAGAACGATTTGGATTTATGGCATCTCTCCCAAATTTTATTAGTATAGGTAATAGCATGTTTTGTAGTGGTATTTGGGATAAATACCACGCGTATTTCAAAATTGTCAAACAAAATTTCCCGAGCGAAGTGAGTGAAATTTGTGACAAATTTTGAAATATCACAAGTGGTATTTATCCCAAATTCCACGTACAAAACATGCTATTATTTGTCTATAAAATGGTTGAATAAAATTGTGCAATTTGAAATACCACTATTAAGGATAAATACCATTCCTCTAAGCCAATCAAACTGCACAATTTTATTCAACCATATTATAATTTTTTTTAATTTCGAAGTCTATTGTTGTTTTTTATTCCGTTTTTCAGTTTTGTTTTGTTTTGTTTTGCAATTAACATACGTGAACACAACATTTAATCAGTGTTTAAGCGTCATTTATCAATTTAGTCTCGAGTGTCAGCTGTTTGTTTATTCTAGATGTCATTGTGGCTGCTACCTTTGTCTAGCAAATTTTTTTTAATCAGCTTGTTAACAAGCTTGTTTTTCATTTTTTWAAGACACTCAGCAGCAAACTGGAACAAGCAGAACATAAAGCKAGCAGTTTGGATCAAGAGGTGCGGTTTGATTGCAATAGAGAGCTTAGTTCATACGTCGAGCCAGCGTCGCGCCGAACCAAATAGTTTGAATTTACAACATGATCAGCTCGACGAATCAATTGAGTTCGGCACGACTGTAGCACGGCAGTGGCACGGCAGCGCCAATCGTGCTACACGGCAAAGGCTCGAAGCTGATTAATACGTCGAGCTTTCGTCGTGCCGAACTTAATGCACAAAAATATCTGTATTCGACAATAATAATGGATGTGTCATCAGACATTTTCTTATGCTTTTGACTGTATTTGGCTCGACGTATGAATCAACGACGCACCAAATATATTTGGGTCGACACCAATTGACTATTTGGTTCGGCGCGACGATAGCAAGACGTATGAATCGGGCATTAACCATGACGTTCACGGCAAACTGAAAACGGCAGAAAAGAACGCGTGACTGCTTTTTAGTGTTTTACCGTTTACAGTTTCAACGCGAGAGTGGATTATTTTGAGATGTTATAATCTTGAAAAGTCGCTCTTTCCAATGACTACCTAAAGTAGAAGGTCAGGCACGAAATTCAGTTCTTATGTCATTGGTTCAGCTCTGCTGTTTAGTCGTTTGCCGTTTTTCCTAGAAAAAGCGATCTCAAAACGTCAAACAATGCTAWTTAATACTCTATTTTATCTAGATTTTTTATATATATTAAGCCAGKTATTGTAGGTTAACATTAAGATAAACTTCTAACTTTGGTTATCCTTTTGATAGCTCCAGCTTTCTACCCTCACTATGACAGAGAAGGGAGGTCATTTGAATCTTGCACAGCGTGAAGTTGAACACATCAAAGCCACCTTACAAAGAACTGAGGAGAAATTAGGCATTGAAAAGGTATGACGGCATATATGGCACAAACAAGGCATTATTTTATAAGAACTGTTGATGAATATGGGTGATCTTTTTTAGGGCCAGAACGCGAAATTATCCACGAAATTAGAAGCTACTGAAAACAAGTAAGGTTTTTCGCCACTTTCGTTTCATTTTATTTATTTATTTANTATATATATTAAGCCAGTTATTGTAGGTTAACATTAAGATAAACTTCTAACTTTGGTTATCCTTTTGATAGCTCCAGCTTTCTACCCTCACTATGACAGAGAAGGGAGGTCATTTGAATCTTGCACAGCGTGAAGTTGAACACATCAAAGCCACCTTACAAAGAACTGAGGAGAAATTAGGCATTGAAAAGGTATGACGGCATATATGGCACAAACAAGGCATTATTTTATAAGAATTGTTGATGAATATGGGTGATCTTTTTTAGGGCCAGAACGCGAAATTATCCACGAAATTAGAAACTACTGAAAACAAGTAAGTTTTTTTGCCACTTTCGTTTCATTTTATTATTTATTTATTTATTTATTTATTTATTTATTTATTTATTTATTTATTTATTTATTTATTTATTTATTTATTTATTCATTTATTTATTTATTTATTTATTTATTTATTTATTTATTTATTTATCTCGACTATTATCAAGGCCATTAATCAAACATTATAGCTATAAAAGCGCAAATCTCCTTGAGTGTAGTCAAAATGATTGTCGATTTTTTTTCCTTCTTTCTAGGCTACTAACTTTAATGGGTGAAGCTGATTCGTTAAAAAGACAATTGGAAATCGCTAATGATAAAATAAGGAAGTTAGAAGAGACTGCTGTCCGTTCAGAGGTAAAACATATATGAAGATTTCGGTGTAGTGGACATGCATATCTGTGATAAAATTTAAAAAATATTACTTAGTATTTATGTCTGTAAATATTTTAAAGCAAAGCTCATTTTTTTCTAGGCAAAATATCACTCTACCATCGAAGCATTAAGATTAGATCTCGAAAAGGTAAAATTAAAATATTATACAAACAGAAGAAACGGTAAAATTTCCAGTCCCTACCCCTATATAGGGGGAAAAATCTGGAAAAAATCGCGCGCTTTGAAGGTTTTAAATTTGATGTAAATATGATGTAAGTGTCCAAAATTCTGTAAATTTAATGGAAATCATTTACATCAAATTTACAGAATTTTGGACACTTACATCATATTTACATCAAATTTACAACCTTCTAAGCGCGCGATTTTTTCCAGTGTATTGGGGTCGTTATCCATGTCTCGTTCTTATTCCTGTACTATTTACTTAAGAATAAGGAGCTAATGGCAGATAACAAGAATAGTCTCGCTGAAAGYATGAAATTACTAAAAGAAGACTCCAATAAGATCAGTGAAAACAATATAAGACGGGAAGAGGAAATTAAGAAACTGAACCAGGTAACAGACTGCGCAATATTTATCGTGAATTTATATATTTATTATTCGTGATAAAGAGGATACATAATATGAAGTGTTTGGACAAAAAGCAGAGAATCTGACATTTGATTTTTCAGTTCCCATTTAAAGTTCTAGTTAATTTTAGACGTCGTACCCCCTCTCTTTAAGCACATAAAATTAGATTTGCTCCTACCCCCTCCTGATAAGTATCGCGCTGACGGCAGATTATAATTCCATGAAGATTCCACTTATAGAGAAGCGCTGTATGTATGCGTCAAATCTAAGAAACACTTCCCCAGTTATAAATTTTCACAAAGTACAAATATTCATAACGAATAGCATTATTTTGGCAAGGAAAAGTCGCCCTTCGTGGATTTTCCACTATTATGATTCTTTACCAATACCATGATGCACTTCGGCAAGACATGCATGACGTTATAGTGCAAAGGATCATTGCACTAGCTAAATTAACTCACCACTGTACACCACTATTATTGTTTAATTTTTGCATCTCTCTTTAAAGGAACTAACTACCACGACACGTAAGCTTGCACAGTCWGAAACAGCACTAGAAATGCAAACCAAGGTACACTATGCACTCTATAACTATTGTACTAACCATAGTATTCCCAAACCTGTACTGTTTGTATTTTCCTTGCATGCTTCCCTGGGCGTCCCATAGTTTCTTATAGAAAAAGCAATGAAGTTCATGGTCTATTCTGGTCTTYTTAGGCACGAGAGGAACTAGAGAATGAACGGCTTAGACTGCGTGAAGAGTTACGTGTCTTCGAGGCAAAGGTATCTGATTATAACTCTTAAAGGGACATGGTTATCTGGCATTCTTCACGCGCTTTTATGATTCAAAATTGAAAACTTACACTTTATTATCCCTAGTGAATGACGATATTGTAAGATTCTCTCTTAAATCCGACGAATGGAAAGCGATTATGGTTGGATTTGAAGTCATCTCATTTTCCATATATGAAAAACCTAAAACACGACTACTTTGAATACCATTTGAATATGGCGCATGGCGCTTACTGTATTTTAAACGTTCCATAGTAATTTTACAACCTAATTAATTCTGTTTCAATTCCACAGCTACTRGTTACAGCAGACAGTAAAGAGGAGTTTGCAGGCCGTGCTAATAGACTAGAGGAAAAGCTAGGACAGAGCATGCGCGCAAGTGATGATGCCGCTGCCAGGTTGGCATCAAGRAGTGTAGATCTTGAATCTGTGACGCGTTCTCTTGTAAGTATTTTCCCTTCACTTGCACGCTTTTTCTGCTTTCTTTATATAGGTTGTTCCGGCCCAAAAGGCTGTATTTTCGTTTAAATTTAACTTTCTTTTCCAGTCTCAACTTGAAACCTTAGTAAACCGACTTAAACTTGAAAAGTCACAACTGGCGTCGGCCCTGAAAGACGAGCAAATCAAAGGGGAACTACTYCTGAAGGAAATCAGAGATGCTAATGAGGTACAGTGATTACAAATACAACTTTTATGATGATTAAAGTTGAAGTTTATTATATACATACCTAACTGAAAAAAAATGTCGGGTTAAAAAAATATGCAATACGATCAAACATGGGATAACAATGGGCTTCTTTCCTTCTTCTGCACTGCTTTTAATAATCATGAAGCTAATTAGCCAGTTTTGAGAGCTTTCCGTACTAATTAACCAAAACACCAATATTTGATTTTGCGCCAACTGTAGTTTTGTCCCGGAAAACCAATCAAGTGKAGAAATAGCTTATTGAAATTCATGCGGAATRATCGATGAATTTTCTTTGATTTTATCGTAATCTGGACCCGATAAAAACCTAAGGATGTTTCGCAAGTCATGACAATCTTTCTTCTGAATTGACTCACCATTTTGTACAAAGTATGATATTTTTAAAATTATTTTTAAAAAGCGTCTTTCTCACTTAGAATTAATAAATTATTAACAGTATTACACTGTAATATTCTGCGATGTATTCATTGTTATATTCACATCACTTATTGATAAAGTCTATTAAGATGCGGTCAGAACATTTTTTACAATTAACAACTATCGAATACCACATTGCTATGACAACACAATGACCACTGGTGATTGGTCAATATTTTGATCATAAAGTTAGATGAGTGTAAGCATTCAATCTGGGGCTTAACTGATCTTTGGATAATTGAAAGCTCCTGATTTTGAAATCAAGCCCAGTACTATTTAATTTCTACTTAATTTTGCAAATGTGCTTTCTTGTGAATAATTTTACTTGTCTTTGATTRGTTCAAAGAATTTCACTTCTTCGTTAACCGAATACCTCTAGCAGAGCTGAGAGACATCTGAGTGATTTAAAAGTCCAGGGAGATTATATTTTATCAACAATCTGGTGTATTTGGGATGTTCAAGRCYAAAMAGWTTTATCGAGTGCAGTCGTTAAAGTTCAACACCGAAATATTTGGAGTAATTGGCATTTTTAGCACATTTTCTCAAATTCTTTTAGATATGTTTGAAARTTATTCCAAAGCGAATGCATCAATTTGACAGCTTCTAGAAACAAGCTYCAAAATATTACACACGAAAGACTGATTTGGTGTTTTAACATTAAAGAGAATTATAGCCTACSTGAGGGTGACATGTTGGCAGCAAGGATCTGAAATTCAGTGGACATTTGAGTACTATTTAATAGTGTTGAAGCTATTTCCTTCGGTGTTTAAATCTTTCTACTAAAATGGCAACAGCAGCGATTAGAAATTTACCCGAGATTACCGTTGATGATTCTGGTTTGGTGATTTTTCTMTGTCGTGGGAAAGAGCGTGCGAAAATTATTTGCAACAAGAGTTCTCCTCRATCTTTGGCTAGGTTTAAAGCAAAGGTGATTCGTAGATTRATGGTAGAGAYCTGTTCAAGAGTGACTTTCTTTCTTTTTCAAGTTTTTTTATTGCTATTTTGATATGAAAACGCTTTTAAAAATTACAGGGATTTATAATTACTTTTTTAAAAAGGGTTGCTAGATTAAACGAATTTCAAAATTTCTCCACTGAAGTGAATTCTGGGTATTGATGGTTTACGACACTTCACCAATCAGAAGTTATTTTGCATTAGAAAAATACACTCAGACAATTGAACTACATCAAGACACCGATATCATGTTTTAAACTGCTTTAATTGTGTTTTTCCAGGCGAGACAAAGTCTAGAGGCACTGTTGACAAATGTGAAAGCCGAAAACATACAATTAGAAGAGAAAATACAGGTGAGAACTGATAAATGTATAAACTGTTCAATTTCGCGTTGTCAATTTGTTACTATTTGAAATAGTCACAATTCTAACGTGGAATCGCACATGTGTGCGTGTTTTTTATTGCGAATAAGTGGATAACAAGTCAGTTCTTTATTAAGTTTATATGGTTATTTATAACATTTTTGATATATAACGCGCGCTCTGATTGGCTGACGACCACATGTTTATATCAGAGCAAAGAGACACGGCTTACCGGCAAAATTTGTTTTTCGCTCAAAAAACGCAGAGAAATTTTATAAAAGAGCTATAGAACGGCTGCTTGTGTCTCTGTCCTCTGGTATAAACACGGTGGAAGTTGAGAAGTACTCGAGAAGCTAGAGAAACACTTGCTTCTCTCGTGTTTTTCAACTCCCGCCGTGTATATATCAGAGGACAGAGACACAAGCAGCCGTTTTATATTTAATTCATTCATTTTGTTTATCTACTCAGAGTGAGGAGTTAAATCGCACCATAAGTGGAAAGGAAGCTGCGGAAGCCAAGGAATTATGGGAGTCTGARTTAAGAGCRAGAACAAAACTAGGAACTAAGGTTTGCTCTCCAAACCTCCAWGGCGTAATTCTTAGTTTACTATCTGATATTAAATGTATTTTGTCTTAAACAGATTGTTAATGCAGAGAAGAAGTTAGCAGAAGCGCAAGCATCGCTTGAAGAGGTATGATTGTTGTAACCCTATCAATCTTTACGATCCAGGCCGTGAGACGCTTTGCTATTTAGGTCATTAGGGCCAGTTTACACTGTGACATAAGCAGAAGCAGAAGAAGTAAGTAGAAGAACCACTGAAAAAAATCGCGCGCTTTAAAGGTTGTAAATTGATGTAAATATGATTTAAGAGTCCAAGATTCTGTAAATTTGATGTGAATGATTTCCATTAAATTTACAGAATTTTGGACACTTACATCATATTTACATCAAATTTACAACCTTTAAAGCGCGTAATTTTTTCCAGTGAACATGCTTCTGTCAAGTGTGAACAAGCTTCTGTTTCGCTTTCTGCTTATGTCATAGTGTGAATCGGCCCTAAGCAATGATCTGGATGATCAACGTTTCGAACATTGGACTTAGAACAAGTGAACGAAGCGTTTGAGTGTTTTTCGCAATGACTTTGTTGCACTTAGCTTTATCCTTTTTCATTAGGAGCGAAGAAAAACTCGAAAAGTYCTTGAGATGAAGAAAGCTGTCGAAGCAAAACTCGAAGCTCAAGATGATAGGTAACTTGTGCTTGGATGTGCGATGTTTCTCGTTATTATCCTTGTACCAGTGTTCGTATCAGTGTTTAAGTTTCTGCAATATATAATATAGATGTAGATATAGAAGCTCCAGGCTCGTACCCAGTCGTTACTCTTTTTGACTACGCCCAAAGAGGTTGATGGGAAGGATGCATTGATGCATTGCGCGACGCACAAAAACGAGAAAGACGACTGGAAAATTCCAGAAAGTCCTATTAATTTTCTAATACAAACTTCTCTACAGATCTGCTCATCATCATAAAGACATTCTCGCCTTAAAGTCACAGCTTAAATCTTATAAACGAAGATTAAAGGTACGATTGGAATTGTATTTGAGGTTTAGATATCGATATATCTAAATTAGACAACGGATATTGGAAGACATTGCTCTCTTGACGTTCTTCCGTCGGCCTTTCGCCAGGAACTTCTGCTTTGCAGACTAGAATGGTTGTGATGATAAATACTTAGGCGCCATGTTTTTATTTTCAGGAGTATGAAACCTCCGAAGGGCGTATCCCAAGTATACGAAGTGAGTTTGATAAAGAAAGAGCGGCCAATGAATCTCACATTGCAAGTCTTAGACGACAGGTACGTGTAGTTCGATAATCGTACGGATGAACTTCGACAATTTTAAACATGTCTTGTTTCAGTCCCTCTCTATTTCTTTGTWATCGTTTAGATCGATTATCACTCGGATGAAATTCGGCAAGCTTATTCGTGTAGTTTCATGTCTCACAGTAATCATGTACTTTATATCCGTTTAGATCGATAATCTTACGGATAAACTTCGACAAGAAATGGAAGCACGAACTCGACTCGAGCTAAGCAATAAGCAACAGCAACAAGGTAAGTAGCACAAGGTCTCTATACCCTTGTGAAAGTTGTTATTCAATCGGCTGCCTTAATAATATTTTTTTCTCTTTGAATTTAGAATTATCAGCTGCTAAGTCAAACGAAAAGGTCAGTCACTGGTTTAACAGAGCTGTTGTGTTGTTTGTTGAATTTGCTTTGGGTTTTATTGAATTGGTCATTGGCTAGTTTTGTTCTGTTCAGTTTTGCTAAATAGTTATTGCTTTTTCGCAAAGGAAATGGCCTTTGAACAAGAGAGACTTGAAAGAGCRAATAAACAACTAGAAGAAGAAATACAACGAACTACGGTAAAAAGTTTATATCCAAACGACCTTATTACTAAAACGTTGAACAGATAATGACCTATTAAATAATATTGATTGCAATTAACATCGCTCTCCCATTCTGCTTCACCATTCATTGCAGGCCTATTACGAAGAGAACTACGTCGAGAAAGGGCAGCTCGATGCCTTTAGAAAGGAACTAGAGACAAAGGTAAAGACAATGATAACAAATATTCGCGGAAAAAAACATGATAGAATGAAAAAAAAGTGTTCATTTAGCAAATAATACTGATCGATTCTATCTTAGTTATTTACAATAAATAATTATGTTGTTTAGAGTATTATTTAAAGTAACTTTCAAAGTTTATTTGAGGGAGGAGTCCGAACGGCAATTCTGTGAATATCGGAATTTTGATTGACGGGAGCAGAGGGGCAAATACAATTTTCAATGTTTTCTGTCTTGTAGTCTCGCTTTGAAATCAATCGCAAGCTCGAGGAGGTCAATCAACACCTTGCTGAGGAGGTAATGATATCTCTTTACCCGTGTATTACCAATCTTATTGTGAAACGACTAAGAAAAATTGCACTGTAACCTTTAAAGATTCCAAATCGTTGAGTTTAGCCATTTAATTGCGCTTATATATTTATTCGTTTAATATTTTAATCATACAGGCTTCTGCACGAGAAAAACTCGATAGAATGAGGGAACAGAACGTAGCAAAGACGAGGGCTGAGATGGARCAAATGATAGCTGACCTTAAGGTACGGTTGAGCTTTTGCACTCACAACATTCTTTTAAAAGCTCGCAAAATTCGGTCTCCTTCAACTTCGGGTCGGCAGAAAGACGATATATGTGTATTTTCGAACATAGGGAAAAGCTCGCAAAGGATGCCGGTTGATTATGGAACTTTTATCTTTGCGTCAAGTGGGATGGGAATAATTTTCTTTTTTTTTTTTTTTTTTTTTTTTTTTTTTTTTTTTTTTTTTTTTTTTTTTTTGTAGTTATTGTGATTCATTAATTCTTTTTTCTGTTTTCATTTTTCTGTAAATCTCAGTATTTCACGTTATTTATTTTTTTCTCTTTTACCAAACAGAATGAATTATCACGTAGTCGTTCAAACTTACATGAACATGAAACACACAGAGACACTATATCAGCAGAAGCGAAACGTTATAAGGTAARCTAAACAAAACAGCGAAAATCTCTCTACCATTCCATGCACACACTTAGACTAGAAATATTAACTATTAATRTCATATGGACGTGAAAGACTRGATCACAGCGTAGGAAAGCAATTCACGTTTTCGTTATTGCTTGTTACTGCTACGTTTTTAACGACTAGCCGCTTCGTACTCACGAATGTTTGAAAATGTCTTTATTTTCGGATGGGTTAGAGAGGACTAAAGACCAATATGTAGCAAAGCGTCTGTGTTGGTTTCGACAAGTTTCGATAATCTACAAGCATAGAGTCCCCTGAACTAATTGGTAGAATATCGGTTAATAGGACGGTTTTGTTGTTTTGCAGGAGCTTTACGAAAATGAGTTGAATGTCAAGAATAAACTAACAAGTAAACTAGCGAAAGCAAATGAGAAAGTAGCGGAATCAAAGGCGATGTTGAAGTAAGAAGTTGGTATATGTGATAATTCTTTTTATATCTCTGGTTGGTTGATTGGTCGGTCGGTCCGGCTGTAGGTCGGTCGGTTGGTTAATCAGTTGATTGATTGATTCTGTAATTGATCAATTGATTGATTCATTAAATGACTTTTCTCACGTCTTCATTAATTCAATTTCTGATATTTCTAGTTTGGAGAGGTCGCGTAGACTACAGACTGCAGATCGCGATTCTGGATTCGTTACAAGCCCTAAATATTCACCTGATCCTTTAGGTAGTTTTATAAGCAGATCACCTAGAAGTCCTGGGAGATACGGACACGTAAGTCATGATACCTACATTTATATCAAAATACGTACACGTAGACCTACATTTATATCAAAATACGTACACGTAGATCATTGTACGAACACGTAAGTCATGATACGGACACGTAAGTCACATAGGATATGGTACGAACACGTAAGTCATGATACGTACTTGTAAGTCTTGATACCTACACTTATATCAAAATACGTACACGTAGATTATTGTACGAAAACGTAAGTCATGATTCGGACACGTAAGTCATAATTATACTTACCTCATATCAAAATACGTACACATAGACCACGGTACGAACACGTGAGTTATGATGCGTACTCGTAAGTCATGATACTTACGCTTATATCAAAATATGTACATGTGGGTCATGATAAGTACACGTAAGTCATGATGCGGACACGTAAGTCATGAAAATACTGGTGAATTTCTCTTGCTTAAATAAAGGATGATGATCAACTGATGAAAGCAGTAGAAAATGAATTAAACAAGAGTATCAAACGACATTTAGAAACAGGTAATACCTCACATTGTCTCTTATTTCACCTTCCATCTGTTTGTCACAGAGAACTACATTTCTAAACCATACTATATATTGCCATAGTTACTGCAGCAATATTGGGTTTATTACAATTAGATGAGGGCTGTTGTTAAGTTATCATGCTTTCTCTCCTTCCCATCAACCCCTACGACCGTAGATAAAAGAGTAAGACTGGGTAAAAGTCTGAATTGGTAGCCCTCAACATGAATGACAATAAACCGAAGATGAATGATGATGAAAAATAGTTAATGATTTATTTCTGTGTTYAAGGACCCGTTACCACTGATTTGGATCTAAGACCATCACCGCTGAACATTAGTGACACGGAYACGGGCTCATATCCACCTCTCACGCATGCGTCTAAGGAATATATGTCCCTTCTTCAAAAGAAATACTTTGTATGATAATGATTATYGACTTATTTTAAAATTTATTGCAATCATTTGAGTGCTAGGTATATTTTTCCAATGAAAATGTTTATTTAGGTCTTTTTTCTAATAACAAGAGTGCTTTTAACATGTATTATTATTATCATTATTAATATTATTATAAATATTGTTGCATACGTTGTTAACTTTGAGTAACATCATTTTATATCGTCCAAAGTAGGAATTGCCTTGAATTAATGATTACAATTTGTTTTTTGTGGAAAATTTTTGCTACTCTTCCAAGCCCATTTCASTTGCTTGTCTGGTAGGCATGTATATTTGTACAKAAACRCTTCCAATTTTGTTTAAAAATTCAATKTCAACATTTCCAAATGAAGAGTTATTATATTTTAAGCATTTGCTAATTAAAAAAATGTTATCTTAGCTGTTGTTGTTGATCTCAAGACGCTTCAAGTGACGATTATACTCATTCGAAGTCCATGGTCGAGTTTATAAGGACGTTTTTGTGCATGATTCACAATATAATCATCATCGTGTCATGATTTCTCTTCGTTTGTTTTCTCGCCTTCTCATTGTTTTTGGACATCTTTCAAACCATAGTTAGCTATGCATCTACACACGACCTGAAATTAAACCAATGACTAATCACATGACTTAAAAACATTCAAAGTCCCTTTAAATATCACATGATAATTTTATAGTACCTGCAGGTGCATGAATGGAATTTGATACAACCATATATACATTCAACCATTATGGAAGGAAGAAAAAATGAGATAAACAACATGACTCTWGTTCTCATTTATTCTTTTTTACATCAAAAGTTTCCGGTACTGTTCATTCGGCACSCCTAAAGCGTGCAATCTCGTGCAACGACCAAATATTCCCAAGCAGCGTGATGCTGGACGTAGTCCTCACGTTTTTTTATATAGTCTCACGTTTTTATTACGTAGATTAGAATGTAATATATACTCCGGTATAAAACCTGTTTTCGCGTCAGTTTCTTGCAGAGATGCAAGTAGTTTTCCTGTTTATTTGATGGGAACATACTCACAAAAAAACAGGAATTTAGAGGTCTATTTTAGTGAACCTTAAAAAGTATGATCATATCTCTAATCAGATGCGTTGTAGTAAAGTGCTGTCGATCGCAACCTACGCATTTGTGTCAAAAATTTACAAACAGAAAGGAAAGAAATACTATAAATTACAATGAGTAAACGAAATAAAAATCAGAAGCATGCATGGAAACATTTTTTTAGAACAGGTGTATTCCAGGTAATTTAGTTCCAATTTTTTCTTTGTAATCCGCCAGGGGTTGTATTTTAATCTATCTTGCCAAGTGTCACTGCAACAACATGATCTTTAGTTCCTTCAAAMGCGTAGGCGTTATTTACCTACAATGATTCATTCAACAGAAAACACTTCATATCCAATAAAAATGCTCATTTTACACTACCAAACTGCGCGCGCTTGAAATATTCAAGATTATTTTACGCGATTAACCACAAATTCAGTGATCAGTCATCCATTCGTACCAATTATCCAATTAACAGAAACGTGCTCCTGTGACTGTCGACCATGACTGACCTTTGATAACATTTGGACTTTTACTATTTTGCGATTGTCAGCAGTTTCATCACGAGGGCAGAAAAGACTAAATATACCGAACCAATAGCTAAACTTCATTCTCGAACGTAATCGGTTACTGCGTTAGTCTGGACGTAAGAAAGAATTGTGGCGATAACAACGAAAACGTACTCAAAGATTTTAAACGTGTCTAGGTAAGTTTCTCCCTTTCATTACAGTGATCCACTATTGTGTATCATTTCACCATTCTTTTTCAACCGTTCGGTAACAGAATTGAATTGAAAACTATATTTTTGAAGCGAACTTAGTTTTGATTATTGCCAGTAATTTTGCAGTCATTCGGTCGTAATGATAAATTCGTGTTGCTTACAGGAAGTTTTAGTCGTCACTTCGAATAGAGACGATAGAACGATATAATCTGTGAGTTCTGCGGATGGAAGTTCAGCATGAAAAAAATTATCCTTCTATTGTATATATATAAAAAAACAAAACAGCAAGCGATACTCGCGGGGGGGTAGTCAAGTGCATCTTGTCGCCAATCACATGCATTACATTTTGAACACTTTGTCGCCTTTATTTTTATTTTTATTTTTGCTTTTTATTTGCCGCTAGTCAGCCTACTAAGAAACTGAAATATATAGTTGGTAGTCGTAGAAATGTTGCATATGAAGTGTTGATTCCAAAAGTCGGTCCCAGTTCACTCTCTGTTGATTATCTTATTGGTAATTACCCGAAAAAGCGTGCCATCCAATCAAATAACGTTTTATTTAGATGARTACATTTATACCAATCACAGAAGCTCTTTAGTGCTGTTTTCTTTGAATTTCCAAAACGCATGCGCATTCAATTCATCGCCTTGTAATGAACTTTCATGTTTTCTAATGCTTTTGTTAAAATTGCTGAGTAAGACAAATAAGTACGGAAATGCAGAAAAACAAGTCAATTTCTTTGTATTATTAATGAATGTTTGTCGAGAATATTATAATGATTTCGCTGTTGCATAACCACACGGGGTATGATTAAGATTGTGATAAGATCCCCGCTACTTGGCGTAAACAACATTCCTTACYGAGTGCGCATGATCTYCTCGCTAATTTTATTCTTCCAAAGAAACGATAGCGGCTTAGTCCACATTAATACKGCCAGGMTGTCTGGTGCCASTGAAGGATAATTCACATGGTTTTGTCCGCGACAGAAAACAATTAATTTTCGCGCATAAATAGGAGAATTTGCTATAAAAATTAGTATGGCAGCGTTTAAAACAAGATGAATTCTGAAAAAAAAAACTGATAAAAAAAAAAACTGAGTGGCGCGCAACTATATTGTTTCCATAAGACTTACATATTTTTTGTCCTAATTGTGACTATGTTGGCAACTACATAGATTCGTTCCAACTAGGGTTCATCAATTCTTCATCACCTAAACCCATTCGCTACTTGCTGTGAAATGATATTGATAAGCACGAATCCARATGGCTCTTTTTCAGTGAATGTTTTGAGCTGCGCAATCATCATTCTATATATAATATGGTGCTAATAAAAAGATTGTGACCATCGCAAAGCGCTAATTAAAAAAAGCCGACGGCGATAAGTTGTCAAATGTATTTTTTTTGGTAAATTTACAGAATTCTTCTTTTTCGTTCTCAATGATAAATATGCATTCACACTAAGGCTCGTCCACGCCGATGCGTATTATCTTAAAAAGTCTTAGCTTCCTCGTTCTGGGGGAAACGGGAAACAACTGCACAAAAACGCATGTGACGCGCGCAACGAAAACTCATCCATATAGATAGACGGGCTGATCTTCTGCTACAATGATACCTTAGCCCTTTTAGCCATTTTTCATTTCATTATGGCCTTTAAATTGCTTTGATTCCTTTACCAATATTCAAAAAATTTCATGGGTATATTTTTCCGTAATTCGCGACCACAAAACTCATTGGAAACTTGTGGACTTAATCTGTAGGTGAGAGGTAGTATATCAATTATACGACAGGCACAGTCAAAACAATTATACTTACTGCAAAATACCCTTCAATATAAAATGGTTAAATATTAAATAAAGCTAAAGGGGATTTTTAAGAGGCTAATCTATTATAAACTAAACTTTTCCCGTCTAAGCTTTTAAGCTATCTTATATGGCACTAATGAAAAATTGTCTAATCTTAATTGACTCAAACTCAATCCCTATGATATGTGACTATCAAAGGCTGAAAACTTTGGACGCCTACAAACAACCGAACAATCTATAGTGTCAATATGAAGTGTTTTTGCATAGCCTTAGGCGCCATTATGTCATAATAATGGGGTTGTGGGTCCATGTATATCCTGCCAACTCTAGCTAATYATAAGGTATTGTCATATTCCCGTAAGCCTTTCGGGTTTTAATCTATCTGGACGAGAAGATAGGCCTATTTGTTATCTGATGAAATTCAGATTAAGAGAAAACTAATCATTAAAACTTTTGAGTTCACAAGATTCCGACACAAATGAAACAGGGCAGTACAACTTATGAGCAAAAACATTGTCTGTCGAGGAGAACACCATAGATTGTCGATTTTTGCGGAGGCCTTGCTGTTGTCATGTGTAACTCAAATTGCAATCAACCCGCGCAGGTGGATGTTCTAAAAGARTCCTATGATTAATTAGATAATGTTTTTCAAGCGCGGTTCCTGGCTTCGAATCAGTCTAGAAAATCATTATAAGATCTAACTTTTGAGTTTATTATTCATGATTTTTTCATGGCTGGATATTAAACACAGCATATCTCGTATGTTTCCATATCAACTATTCAGTTGTTTTTTTTTTTTTCAGTTCCGTCCACTATACGTCATTACAGATTTTCGAATTTTCTTAATGTCTGAATTTTGTAACTTTAATCCCTTAAATTTTTTCCGACCTCATGCAGTTTCAAGTCAACATATTTTCTCTCTTGGCCCTTTTTGTCTTACTCTTTCTTGGTCTGTCTTCCTTGAGTATAATTCTGATAGTTTTCTTTCTTTTCTCCATTTCTCAGTTTTTTCGTCTTTTCATTTAATTCCTAAAGCCGAATCAGTTCATTTCTTAGTTTTAATCTCACAAGTGGATCTTATAAATTAGTGTCTACTAGGCTTCATAAAGACAAATCATAAATTAGAAGTCGATCAGTTACACTCCAGGCTCACTAGCTCTTTATTTCACATTTGGCTAACATGCGTTGTTTCAAAAGAACTTGACCTTTTAAGGCTGTCGGACAAGCTGGGACCCATCCCTATTAGCCATTGTCTCCCACAACCTTTTGTGTGCAGGAGTTTCGGTTTTATTTTCGGTTCTTGGTCGACAACAAAAGCAAATGGACTTCTGGCCCCGTATCGTACTACCATAACGGAATGTTAAATCGAAGAAAAGACAAAGAGGGGCACAAAATCAAATAATTTAAGGGGGAACTCCAAGGGGGATTTTTTCTCAAAAGTATAACTGAACAAAGATCAGATTTAGCGTATTTTGTACATTTTATTTCAAGTATTTTAAGATTTTTCCTTAATAGTCTATATACAATAATGTATTATTTCTATATACAAGCGGAAGAGCTATTCAAAATAACTTAGCATGGCTTTTCTACAAGCATATGTTTCCCGACAATGAGGAACGGCTGATTCRAGTGCGCACGACGGAGCCATTGATTCGCGCAAAAATAAGTCTTTCCTTTGTTCATTGTTTAAACGTTCCGGTAGAGTGACCAACAACAATTGAAACCATTGGCAACCATCTCCAAAAACAGCATAATATCAGCTGATAGAGGCTATTTACAAGCAATCATGTCAGAGCTGACGAAAAGGACTTTGAATTATACATTTGTTGACTTCTTTTTCAATAACAAAAAAAGAATTAATTCCGTCAATAGTGTGAAAAATCATTCGCGTCCTGAGGATCTGTTGATATGTCGTCTCCAAACTTTTTTTTTTCCTTTTATACTTGTACATATACTTGAGTCCTCCCACGCGTAGTGATAACAGCCTATTTATTGCTCCACCTTAGAGCATCAGCATTTACAGATTTGAATACTTTTGTTAGAGGTCCGGCAGTCTTGAAGGCGCTGGCTATACTTGTCTGAATTGACGCTTGAGTGTTCACTTCATCTCCAATCATAGCCAGCATTTTACCAATTATTTTACAGTTCTTAGCTTCCTGATTCGTAMTTTTTGTCGGATGATACACCTCAGAGTTTTTCTCCGTTTTAGGGAGTTTGGATTTTTCAGCGGACMTGGGCCCAATCGCCATTGTAGCTCAGGCGCCTCTAGAGATCAAATTATGTAACCTTCTCACTTTCTGAAATAATAAACCCATACAAACTTGTTAGCAGATTTGATTTTATTATTTATTCGGACAAATTACAGCGCTGTTTTATTATAGACGTTGTCTTTATGGCCATTTTGAGAAAAAGAGATAGGCCATTCAGCTTCGAACGAGGTCGAAAAGACCTTTGAGCTCGAGCCATACATGCTTGACCGAGCTTGCCCATTTCAAAACGATCGGCTTTGAAACAACAACAAAGCTTTTACTCGTAATTTTTGTACTTTAAAATTCTAGAATAATAACWAGAATTAAAGAATAAATCCAAAGCTAATATTTCAATGGTAATATCTAAGAAACGTGGAAAAAAACGAGTCACTTTAAAGCTCAGGGATGTGCTTTCAAATCCAACTCGTTTCAACTGATTATTCCATCCACATCAGCCCACCAAAATAATAGCTATAAAGACATTTTACCTTGGGAWATATTTCTCTTTTGAATGCTTCAGTTTGCGGGGCTATGAGCTCATCATATTCCTCTAAAATGAAGCTTTTTCCTTCTTGTTTTCATCCACACTTTGTGCGTCGATCCAAAACAAAAAGTTCGCGCGAAAAAATAAATCTGCGTATACAATATAGAGGTTCAACTGTCTTGAAAGCCAAGGCAATGTTGACATGCCGCCTACAGAATCCCGCTTTCCTGATTGGTTTAATCTCGACTTTGCGGTTTCAACTTGTGACGTGGCGTGACGTTGAGATGGAAATTATAAAGCTATTGTTTTTGRGCCAATTAGATTGCGTCTATTTTAGTGGAATGAGTCACTGTCACAGCATGTTCACGTGAAAAAAATTCCCCTCGGACCACGTTGAAAACACGATGAACTATCGTCGTMATTCTTCATAAATTATTCATTGCGATCGCAAAATGTTTTTGAACAACTCAAAAATACGATCTTCRACTCGTTTTTGCAAGATTAGGGCATCGAATTGTTAAATATATACCCCACAAAAGTTTTCTTAAATTTTTTTCTTCGAGCCGAACCTACGTGACCTGAAAGTAGGGGATTTTTGTTTCGAAACCGAAATGATGAGCTTTCGGTTTTCAGTTCTGCATGACAAACATCAAAATATCAAGGAAATTACCTTGAAATTTTAGGTCGTTCGAAACGCATTATATGAATTACATTTATTGAAAGGTTACATAAGAGTGTGGGTGAATTTATGCAAAGATWGAGCGATATTTCATCAGTTATGTATTCAAGGCGATGACTTGATGTTGGTTGGACAAATGATTCACTCCAGCTTAGCGCATTGACAGACAAACTGGCCAATCAGAGCGCGCGCGCTGACATCAAAGGTCTTGCTTCCTTCCTTCACTACGCCATTGCTGGGTCCTTTCGCCGTTTTCAAGTGAACCTAGTGGTCGAATTTTCTCTGCGCTGCCTCTTGCTCTATCTCTCTCGTAGTTCTCTCRCCTTGCCAAGCTAGAAAAAACTCTTTCTTTCCCTTTAAAGGGTTTTGAAAAGACATTTCAACGAACAAAACCCGCGCATCGTAAGTAGGTTGATTCGCCAGTGAATATGAACGATGTGTACTAGCGTAGTGAACGTTCAGTCATTGACTGTACTCCATTTTGAACTCATTCTTTGATCTTTTGATTCACAGAACTCAAGAAAATCTATACTAAAGCGAAAGCCAAAAGTGGAAAACGTTTTTGAAGAATTATCGAACTATTTTCTGACGATAACTTCTGAGAAATTCAAGCGAGTGAAACAGTAAACAGAAAATAAGTTTGCACGACGACAATGGCCGGAGCGACAGCTGCTTTGCATCTTGAGGACTTTTCTTCTTCTATGGACACCTCTGCCTTCTCTTCTAGCGAAAGAGACATTCTTGAAGAATCTTTTTCGCTAACATTGGATTATATCTCATACCGTTTAAGAAATAAATTCGATCAAAGTCAGTTGGTCGGYTTACCTCGAAATTTTCTCATTCCAAAAACTCCGTCAACATCGGAAGCAAAACTTCGCTCCCTCGCTTCACACATGGAGGCCGAATATCCAGACTTATTTGARACTGCTTGTGCTAAACTTGATTTCACTCCTGCATCTGCTCGTTCAACATTCTATAGTGTCGCAAAAGAGATTTTTCAAACCGGAATCAACTGGGGACGCATTGTGGCGTTGTTCACCTTCGGTGGTGTCGTAGCTCATCACTTCGTTGAAAACGAAAGACCAGACATGGTATCTCATATTGTCCTTTGGATTCCTAGCTTCATAGCTGAACATCTACTAAGTTGGATTATGGAAAATGGAGGATGGGTGAGTTTGAACTTTGTTGCAATGTTTTCTATTATTTTTCGTTAAAATTATTTTTCGTAGAAATATTTTTTTGTTATTTTTCATTGTTTTTTGTTGTCCGCGACAACGCCAGACTTCAAATATTTGCTTTGAATTTTTTTTCTGACCTTAAACGATTTTTTCAACCTTATTTACACCCTTTTTTCTAGTTTTAATTTTGATAAAATGATAACTCGAAATATGTGTATTTTCTTAAAAAAATGCTAAATCTTATAATGTTYCTGAATTGTTAAATTTTGGATTTTTTGATAAAAATCCATTTTTAGTTTCTTTTGTATGTTTTTTGCCATATTCTATTCAATCTTCCAAGAACAAATATTGATCCATATCCGGCAAGAAAAAACTGAGAAAAAAAAGATGAAAACGATATTGAAAAGCGAATGTCCTCTTCCTTTATTTCCGGCATAAYGAAGTTCCAAAACTGAAAGAATATCACTAAAAAAATATTATACCTTCTACTGGAAACAGCTTTTTCTTATTTACTATTAGTAAATACATATTTATTTTGAGTCATCCTCACAGTAGTCACCACAGCATGAATAAATCARCACCATTGATGTTGTCAATGGACAAAACCTGTCACTTGACATTTGAATATGAAACGCYGCAATTTATCTTGCTTTACAGAACCATATTTAAATCTTTCAGTCATTCTGTCTGGAGTTTGTCGTTTCCCTGAATAGTCAAGTGTCTTTGGGCATAAAGATCCATTTTTAATATGCGGACTTTCAATTTATTTGTCAGATTTATTTAGTTTTAATCTTAACTTTTTTTTAGTTTAGTTTTTAAGTAGAGTTTTAGAAAAACGTTTAACAATAAAGTTCTGCGATRATACATTTTGGTTTAAAAAATTTTTACACAACGTTTCGACGTTATCAAACGTCATTATCAAGTGAGATAAAATGCAAAAGTAAGGATATATATAATACAAGAATAATAATGAGCAAAAAATTATAATAAGAATAAGGTTAAACAATGGTAATAAATGAATATGAAAGAAAGAAAAGTAAATGATAAAAACAAATGATAATAAAATGTTGTTTTTTTTTTTCGAAGGGTTTTTTATGGTCTTGTCTGGCTAGTATACATGTTCAATTTTATTGCATGCAGAATTGGAGTATAAAAGCAAAAGAGTACATAATCCCGTTCATAAGCTAATAATTCTGATTAATAATTCAAAGCTAATTTGTAGTATTGATACCAGAATGTGACCATTGATTGAAAAAAAATTTACATTTCTAATTGCTGCAATGCTGTAATAACAATTATAATTGCTTTGAGGTACAGCATAGTGTGCTTTTTTGGCAGCCAATTTCAAATTTAATGTTTTATTATTATTTCACAGGAATGCTAGTAATTCATTTTGCATTAATATTCATATACGAAATATTCTAATTAGGATTTGTAAGCACTCAAAAGTGTCTTTTATTCTTGTTTACCTTTACAGTTTTTCAACTTACAAGCAATTTTACAAGGGAAAATAACTGTTATCTTTCCTCTTTTGTTCATTTATGAGATATTTACTGTCGTTTTTCTTCGAACTAGCTTTAAATTGATTGTCTGTTGTGATGGCCATGTTAAAATATTCACAAAGGCTGCTCTTTTGTCTTTCAGAACGGATTTGTCAAGTATTTCTCAGAGTCATCTCAGTCAATGTGGAAAAGTATATTTGCAGTGGGAAGTTTCTGTGCAGCAGGTTTTACATTGCTAGCGCTAAGCAAATAAGCACACAAGATGCTATCCCATAACACTATATAAACTGTATAGCAGGTATAAAGACAACGATTATTGTAAATCTTTGCTGCCAAATATGTAGATATGACAGAATATATAATGCACACTGACAAACCTCTGCACAAGGCTTAGCGAGGTGCTGGAAATATTGTGCAAGGTGATTATGCCAATAGACTTTTCCTTCAAGGAAACATGGTTTGCAACATTTGCAGTTAACCAGTTCATTCATTTGATACAGACGCTAACATTCCATTTCATTTTTTTYTYTTTCCAGAAGGTCATTTTATTTTTTGATTTGCCATTTTATTCACAAACCGTTTCCATTGGATGCTCTACTTTTCTGATATTTTTTTACCAAAGACAAAGTTCTAATACATGCAAGTCAAAGCATAAAATTTTTTTAGTGGATATGCAGCTGACTGAATGCTGATTGCTTAAAACAAGCTAAATAGCCCTTGCTATCTCTGCTATTGAAACAGTTTAACTAGTCAAACTAGATTTCAGTGACTTGTCAAACCAGTTAAACTGCWCAAAATCAGATTAGTTCACTGGTCAAACCAGTTTACTAGTCAAACTAGCTTAACTAGTCAAACCAGTTTAATCTTGGCGCGCTACAAATCCTGCTGAGACCAAATAAGAAACAAAGTAATATAAAGAAAGCAACAACCAAACAAAAAACAAGTGATTGTATATCACAATGGTGAAAAGGTGTGTTGTTCAATTAGCGTTTGAGTCTAATTGAAYTGTGTATGTTGAGTGAACTTTTAAATACAGATGTACATGGTTGTATAAACTGTATTCACTGTTAATATTTGACTATTATTGTGTTAATCTGTTAAGTTGTATCTTCAGAGGTTGTGAAGTTAAAAAGAAGCATCCTTAAATGTTTGCACTTCCTGGTTTCAAACTACTCCTTGAAATTCTTGAAATCCTTGAAAAGCCCTGGAATTTAAAAATCATTTCAAGGGCACTTGAAAGCCTCTTCAGAGTCTGAAAAAAAATCCTAAAATTCCTAATTGCAATCCAAATTTGTCTAAAATGTTTTGATTAAATTGTGAAGACTACTAGAGAATTGAATTCCAGAAACATCAAATGTGATCTTTAAAGATACAGTGTAGTCCTTGAAAATTTCATTTTTGTGCTTARAAAGTCCTGGAATTTTGTAGTGAAAAGTTTACTGAATTCCCACACTAAATTTGTATGCAAGTTGAATGCAAATATTTGGGTGTGCTCTTTTAAACTTCATAAGGAACAATTTGTTTGGAGTAAGCGAGGACGTTTACTCACAAATGCATATATTACTGATGTATGCACCTTTTCAGTTGCTCTTAGGCCTCAACAATGTGTTAAATATTCTTTTGAATTTGTAGGAATGTGAGCAATGCAAACATTGATATGAATAGTCTCATTTGTCAAATTCAAAAGAATAATTAACTTGCTATCGTGGCCTAAGTGCAACTGAAAAGGTGTATTGACTACCAACCTTAGGTTTAAACATCAGGAACCAGTTGTTCTACAAGGGATGAATAGTGTTTTCTAATCAAGTTGATAAGATCCATACGAAATAGTGGATAATTTTATCCACCTTGGTACAACTGGCCCTATTAGTATCACTTCTTTTATTGTGTAAAAACTACCATGACTATTGAAAGGTAGCCTCCAAGTTTATGTTTATGCATCAGTCTACTGTTTAGTTAAAGGATCAGGGTGTCTGCATGTTGTATTACATATCACCAAGGCAATGCTAAAAAAATTGATTTTTATAGCATTGATATTATTTATTACTTGCCAGTTTGAYACTCCCTAAGGTTGTACTATATACACTGTACCATACACAAAGTAGTCTTCCAGAATCCATGATCTTTGATTTTTTTATATTTTAACAGTTTACCAACAGTTTTCCAATGTAGCTGTGCTACATTTTTTTGATCTAATCCTCCATGTTAGGAAACTGTATTCCAATCTAGGAGCTGCTAAAGTGTTTATGGTATAATGTATAAGACTAAATCATAAAGTAACTGGTTTCTTAAGACAGAGCTAGTTGACAAAGTATTGCACCAAATTATACCTTTTGGGATTCCTGCCAAAAAGTGTCAGTCATACCTGTTATCAGCGTCACTGTTTTGAGGAGAAAACCCAACTTGACGCTGACAGCATTGGTTTAAGCTWACTGGCTAAGAACTCAAAAATTCCCAAAGGTTTAAAATTTGATGCAATTCTGAAATTTGCTGGTCATGTCTACTTACTTACAAAGAAAAACATAGTATTGAAGTTGYAGTAGATACTTAGGCTCCTTTCGCAGCCTTTATGACACTCGTTCCTGGGTCAGCGAGAGGAGACTGGTAGATCTCTACTAAGACTATCAACATATTTTTCCTCATTATGTCAATATGTATAAAAAGTACACATGATGTATGAAAATCATAGTTTTATTTCTCATGATGTAAATTTGAAAAGATTTCACTTGTTCAGAAAGCAAGCAATGCAAACTCTGTGCTTGTTGAAAATTTKGTGCATGTACTTATGTGTTCTCTGCATGTACATGACTCAATTGTAAGACATGTCTTACTTAGAGTGATTTTCATTTAAACACCAAAGAATAATGGCAATTTACAGGCAAACTTTGAAACTTTTATGCATAGTTAATAGAGGGGAATGGTTTGGAAACCTTATGTTGTAGTTCTTTTGTACATCTTTTGTATGTATTTGAGGTTGAATCTGTAAAGACTGTGCACAACTTCTTACAGAAGTGGTAATTGCAAAATGAATGAACACAAACACTCTCTATGAGATTATAAAATGAAATATAATAATTTCAACATTGTTTTTTTTTTTTGACATCTTGAAGAAATAGCCAAAAGAATAATTTTTGCTCTATTCATTCAGATGTGACCAGTATGGCTAAARCAATCGTTRAWAGATTGTGCAMGGTCAMGCTTGAAAGAAAGTGCTCAAAAACCTACARCAAAAGGCTTCCTAACCATTTCCCTCTACAAACTATGTTATATGCAAAAGAACAACGGATTGCCGTAGCCTTGGTTGCTAGTGTTGTAGTTGATAAGTTCCTTGTAGATTGTATTTTGTTCCAATAGCCTGTGTGAGCATTGTGTGATGACGTGGTATCTCTATTGTAATCCTAATGTAGGCTCGACGCCTATTATGGATCTTGAACATTAAAAATCCTAAAATTGACAAGTTGTCCTCTCTTATTTTTTTTATTTATTTATTTTTATAAAAACCCTTTTCTCTTGCTCTCCATTTTTTCACTTTGTACTTGTAATAGTTGTTTCTGTATTGTGTGACAAAAATTGTCAATTTCAAAACGCTGTGTAATTCAAATATATGACTCAGTTATACCTTCACACAAAAAAGGTTTTTGCTAGAAGCAGAGCAAATTTTGTTTCAAGCCAATAAAGAACAAAAGGATGGAGTATATATGACGTCATATACTCCAAAATCTTTTGACAAAATTCATAAGAAATTGTATCAATATCTAAAAGGATTTTGTGCCTTTTCCAGCGTTTCTCGATTTTCAACAGCCTACTCGAAAAATACATGAAGTAGATTTATATAGGAATAAAAAATTTTTTGAATGAGTCCCATTCAGATTTCTTTTATTTATTTATGCCATAATTTCTCTTTTTCTGAATTTCACACGCGTCCTCTGAAAATGGGGATATTTGATTAAATGCCGTAGTTTAAAGGGGCCCGGGGATATATCTGATAATAAGTTCCCTATACAATTCAAAGTAAACGCTTCCTTTTTCAGTCGTGCAATCTCCGTTACCAAAATTTTCCTTATCAAACTTACTCAAACATCATGAAAATAAATATATATTGCTTTGTATGAAACATCAAATAASCCCTAGCGGAACAAACCTATCGCCAAAAATGTAAACGTACTAAGAGCTACATTTTGTACTTGCCATTAGAATTTATCTTATTTTTAAGTAAAACACTTTTAGCAATTCCTATAAAATAACTTTTATAGGATTATTTTCCCGCCAATGTGATTTTAATTTCCGATTTCTCACCGAAGAAGCTATAAATTTAGCATATACTATTATTTTGTACTATAACTCGTTAAACGTTGCTCTWTTCGTTATTGATTTTTATTGGCGACTGTGTACACAAGTTGAAATAATGTTATATGAGTTTACCTATGGAGTATTAATAAAAATACACTGAATTCACCGACTAAGTGATTGTTATCTGACTTGACAGCAGCGAAAGCAAGTGGAGTTAAACCCAACTCTGTTAAGTCAACCATTGTAAARTTCGAAAAGGAATTAATTTATGCCTATTCCAGCTAAAAAGAAGTGTTTCAAGTACCCTTGATACGAATGGAGAAGGTAATCACATTTTTATAACTAAATGAGTCTTAATTCGAGCTTGATTTAAGTGAACCATTATATTGTTTTGGAAATCACCGGTCACAAGGATACTTGATAAGAAATCCAAATAGAAATTATCTTTAAACAACTCTGAAAMTGGACGTGATATATTTTATCTTTGCAGCCTTCAACAACCCATCGATACTAATTACACAACGTACGACTGCAGCTGCTCAAGTACACGAGGTTTGAACTGAATCGCCTACTTCACTTCACGTCGACAAGCAAAGAAGAAGGGATGAAAACGTCTACAATAACTGAAGCGAGATGATGAACAATACAACTTCTCATTTTGATCACAGGCATTGGGATTCTCATTTGCTATACCCAGCAGTTACCATTTGGGGGCTTTTCTTTTTGCTTTCGATTGTGGGAAATACTTTCGTCTGCGTCCTCTCTTTTCGAAGATGCCACATACTTGGGATAAAGACCTATTATTTCATGAGCCTAGCCCTTGCCGACCTCRTCTTTACACTGGCAACTCTCTTCTACGTCCTAAACATTGTTCTTCCAGAGAACATCTACAGCAACTTTACGTGCAAAGTATTTTACTATACGATCAATACAAGCCATGGCGCCTCGGTCTTCAACTTGCTTCTCCTGACCTATAATCGATATWACGCTGTAATTTCTCCTTTAAAAGAATTTTCAAACCGAACCAAGAAAAAAGGCGTCAGACGAAAGCTCCTAGTGACCTGGACYGCTGCCTTGATTCCATACATACCACATCTGTTTTTGTACAACATCAACGAAACTCCTGGAATTAAAAATGGTATATATTGCACCCAAGGAAGACCTAATGTCTACATTTCTTTATACTATGGYCTATTGGTGTTCTTTATGTATCTGGCTCCCTTGTTTGTAATAGTGCTTTCATATAGTAGAATTTGCATGCGTCTCTCGTCTGCTTCTCAACGTTTCGAGCGCGACTGCGTTGCCTACAGAAATCGTCAAAAAGCCATCAAATTGTTAATAATCATTGCGGGTCTGTTTTTTGTATTTTGGACCCCTTTTAATACCATGTTGGTCATCATATATGTTCTGCAAATTCAATTTGAATACCGTCCTTTAGCTTGGGCTTTGTCTACGTTGCTTGTTCTTGTAAATGCAAGCATCAATCCATGGTTRTATCTACTTGTCGGAAGAAAATCGAAAAGACGAGCGTCGATGATCACCACTCCAAGAGCAATGCTGCGACTTCAAGTTTTGTAAAAGAGATGCAAGGTAAGATTGTTGTACTCATTTCAGCATGAGGCTCGGGACCTCTTCTCTCAACCTTTTACCACTAACGGTGAAGTCAACTTTCTCCGAGTTTCTTTGATCTATATATTTTGTTCACCTAAACTTGGTCTTCAAAGACATGTCCACATAAGTGTCTAATTCTCAAGCCATTTCAAGAGGTTTCCATTGTCACCAAACATGTTCAATATCAAATTAAATTGTACAAATAATTTAAAAAAAGCGTACACT